AAAAAAAAAAAAAATCAAGAGCAAAAAGTAAAAAAAAAAAAAATATAAAGAAAGTAATTAAAGAAAAAAATAATATATATATATATGTGTAATATAAAATAATCAATATTACAAAAATATTTTGGTCTTCATAATAAAAATTTTCTATTTCTTAAAATACGACGAGAGAGAGAGAGAGAGAGAGAGAGAGAGAGAGAGAGAGAGAGAGAGAGAGAGAGAGAGAGAGAGAGAGAGAGAGAGAAAGAGAGAGAGAGAGAGAGAGATACTGTTTCTATAGATATTGGAGATAGATAAAGATCGGCACTGAATAAGGAATCTATTTTAACAAACGATGTATGTAACCTTAGAGATGATTATTATTCGTTCGTGGATCGTACCTAACACCTTCCTAGCACGAGCTTCTATATTTAGGATTTTGCACACGTGTGCTAGTCGCGATCTTCAGGGCCAACTTCAGCAAGCCGCTGCTACGCGATCGTTTAAATTTTAATTCATTGTGAACACGATCGATCTTTACCTACCACTTGAAATAGATCTTTTTTTTTTGTAGTTCCTCTATTTCCTTCTTTTTTTTCCTTTTTTTTTTCTTTTTTTTTTTTTTCTAATCCATCAAAAGCGGCGTATTATCGCGTCACTTATCATTAAAAAATATAGATGACATATTTACTGATAAATACAGGACTTGTTCAAAGTCTTTGGTGGTGGGGTTAAAAAAGAACCTAAACGATTTCAAAAATCGATTATTTTCTTATCGACGAAACCTTTACGGGTTTCTAATGGTTAACCTAGTAATTTTACAATCTAACCTCACTGGTAACACCGATAAAATTTGACAAATAGAAATTAGACTAAAACTGAATCTTGAAATAGATTTGATTGATTTTTTACAATAGTTTAAAGAAAATTTTTACGTTCATCTAATATCGATGAAATGTATAGAGGACTAAATATGATTGACGATTAATTTTTTCTTCGACGAGAACTTTGCTAAGTGAATTTTAATTTTCTTAAAATTTTATTATAAATTTTCATTGAAACGAACGAACTATTAATTCCATTGAATTTAATAACTTTTTAAACGAATATAAATATCTTGATCGGATATAATAAAAATGAATATATCTAATCGAGAAATGTAAATTTGATGATCAACGAAAAGACTCGACTCTGAGAGAGATCGACGAACGTTCGAGATTAATCTCCCTCTCTCTCTCTCTCTCTCTCTTCTCCTCTCCCCCTCTCTCTCCCTCTCTCACGTTCTCTCTCTCTCTCTCTCCCTCTCTCACGTTCTCTCTCTCTCTCTCTCTCGTTCCTTCGTTCTGAAGGTCACGAGAGCCAGTGCGAACATAGAAAATTATTCTTGAGTAATTCTAACTAAAATCTGTTTTGTCTTATCTTTCTTCTTCTCTCTGTATGTGTGTGTGTGTTTGTGTGTGTCTCTCTCTCTCTCTCTCTCTCTCTCTCTCTCTCTCTCTCTCTCTCTCTCTTTCTCTCTCTCTCTTTAACAGCGTTCCTACTTCGTATTACGTAATACAATTAAAAATTAATCAAGATTTTATCGGATTTTATCATTGGATTGCACGATAAAACGATAGGAAAATATCGAGTTTTCTTATTTCAAAGTTTAACAATAACTACTATGTACAATTGATATATCATACATTATGTATATTGCTTTATTATGTTTAGAAAGGACTAAAGTGAGTCATCTACTTTCTAAAAGTTCCAGAAAATTTGTTTGTCAGACCGTTAGGAACATTCATTTTAACTATCTATCGAACTATCTATCTATTTATGGTATACACGTATGTGTTTATATGTTCATGTGTTAATGGGTTTAGGTGTTTATATCTGGGATTTACCGTGAGGGTGAAATTCAGTAGTGAAGTGAATCAACTCAGGGCCATAATATATGACTCGACTAAAGGAAACAATCGACTTAGTAATTCGCATGAGCCCTTTGTTCGCGAGAAGGATTCATGCTATCTGTTTTGAACCTAATCATTTGCATACGCTAATAATATGTATCTTATATACAATCGTATTTAGAATAGATCAATAATATTTAAAAAAAAAAAAAAAAAAAAAAAAAACCAGATAAGAAATAAATACTATGATATTTAATTTAAGTTACAATAAATATGTTATATATGAAGATTATATATATATATATAAATTGACTATGATTTATAAATAAAATAAAAATAATACCATCGTTTGACTTAATTCAAGTCGTCAATGAAAGGAAGCTTCTCGAATCCATCTTGGTTTACCGTATCTCGACTCATTAATTTATCATCGAAATCCGATGGCTCGTGTGGTTTATTCGATGCGCAAAATCATTAAAGAGTTAATTACGCGTGATCACGTTGCATACACGGATCCGAAGTCCCGTCGACGTTCCACTCATCATGCCAAAGGACTCGACGGAATATATCCGCTTTATGTCCGCCATAATGAAATACGCCATTGTTAAAAAACGGAAGAACTCAAATTTCTACAATCGTTATCTTAAATTATTTTAAACGTGTAAATAAATAAATATTATATACATTTGATATAGATAAAATCTATAATATAATAAATACTGTACAAAATATAATAATATATAACTAATAAATATATATTATATATATATATATGTATGTACATATCTACATATTATTTATATATATATCTTATTTTTTTCGAAAGTGAACATGCACACGCATTATATTAAATATGATATGATTTGAGATATAATTCGTTCCAATTGAGTGACGTACCCTAAATTCCTACGTATATGTATCTCTCTCTATACGTGTGTGTGTGTGTGTGTATGATTTGTATTATATATGTACACTAGCAAGAAAGATAGACGATAAAACAAGTTAAATAACGATAGCGAAAGAATGGACAGTCATCAAAAAGACATTTATACCTGTAGCAGTTAAAGGTTATGTCTTTTTTTCATATTCCAAGCTTTCTTCGAAATCGACGAAATAAACGAAATAGGTTTTATATATGACATTCACATAAGTAAATACTTACGTAGTATATCTATATATGAATATATATATACACATACATATACATATATATACATACATAAATATATACATATTAGTAACGTAGGACGTAGGACGTAGAAATTAGTGAAAATGACAAAGAGGTTAAGTTAAGAATATTTGTGTCCTTTTTCCTACGAAGGTCGATTATATGAATACTGCTACGTCGCAATAGGAAATATCACGGATTATAATGCCGGATAAAAACGATTACTACCATACGTTCGATCTCGACTTGCTTTTTTTTCCTTTTTTCTACTCTCTCTCTCTCTCTCTTTTTTTTTTTTTATTTATATATATATATATATATATATATATATATATATATATAGACGATTAATAACGATTGTATGAGTAGTAGCGGTAGCGGTAGCGGCAGCAGCAGCAGCAGCAGCAGTAACGACACGCGAGAAATATCGACTTGTACTCTCTAATCTAATCTTACATAATTTAAGTAGAATATCTCGAGAGAGAGAGAGAGAGAGAGAGAGAGAGAGAGAGAGAGAGAGCGAGATAGATAGATAGATAGAGAGAGAGAGAGAGAGAGAGAGAGAGAGAGAAACTGACGTTTTCATGAGGATGTCGATACGAGTTAAAACACATATACATTGCAATTCATCCGTTTCAACATAGCTTTTAATTCCATACATTTCATAACCTATAAAAATCGAAAGTTAAGACTTTCATTAAGGATCGATAGGTATGAAAATAAATGAAGCCCGAAATTCCCGTTTATATAAGTACTATATTATATATATATATACACGTATATATACATATATACGTATATATATATATATATTTATTTTCATTCTAAATATATATCTTTTATTCTCATAGAGAAAGTATAAAACGAGTCATTATAACATTGTAACCGTTCCATAATAAATGCAAAAGCCACGGTTACAATATGACATATGTGTATGTACGTATGTATATATATATATAAAGAGATGATAGAAGCGTATTTACATACATATATAAGATGAAGAAAAAAGATGAAGGAAGAAGAATGATCGAACACATACCAAACGTCAAGACGTGGGTGACAGTCTGCTCGGTATTCGCACTCTCTGGCATGTTGAGTGGTGGGGGTGGTAGCGGTGGACGCATGGCGTTCTCCATTCCCACTCCTCTTCTCTTCCCTCTTTCTCTATCTCTCTATTTCACTGCTCACTCTCTCTTTCTCTTTCTCTTATTCTTTCTTTCTCTTTCTGCCACTGTTTTATCCACACGTCTTCTCTCTCACTCTCTCTCTCGCTCACTCGCTCTTTCTCTCTTTCCTTCTCTTACACGCTGTCTGTCAAAATTAGTTTGGCGTATCGCGTACGTCGTAGATAAAAGTAATGACAGTCGAAGAAAAATATCAAAAAAGGATAAATTTTTCTTATTGAATTAATATACTTCGATTGTTCATATTAATATATCTTCTATCTGCGCGAACTTGTCAATCTTTACGGTTTTTTAATTTTCTCTCTTTCTCTCTCTCTTTCTCTCTCCCTCTCTCTCTATATCTCTCTTTCTCTATTCGTCTCCTTTCGAAAATAATTTTCTTTCGTATTATACACGGATTTATTATTACTGCCGAACGAACGGTCGAGTTTACGGGTTTACATGTCCGCGACGTAATTTCTGCGACGACGGACAGCGCTCGTCGTACGTACGTCGTCTACGTCGTCGTCGTCGTCGTCGTCGCCGCCGTCGTCGTTGTTCGCCGGCTACACCTCCTCTTTCTTCTCCACCTCCTCCTCCTCCTCCTCCTCCTTTTTCTTCTCCTCTCTCTTCTCTGCTTCCTTTACGACGAGGTACGACGACAACAATCTTCTCGACGACAGTTACCACAAAGGATGATACACCGACGGGACAATGGAACTCGCACAAAATTCGCATGATACCTGACAAAAACCGTCTGAACTCAACGTTTCTCTCTCTCTCTTTTTCTTTCTCTCTCTCTCTCTCTCTTTCTCTCGCGCGCGCACGTCTAGCCAAGTATAACCATTATAAACGGACGGACGGACAGATGAACGGGGCACGTTTTTCGGTGTCGCGCGCCTGTATACGGTCTTGTTACGATCGTCTATAAGCATTTCTTATTGGTCGAAACATTAGGACCAATCATAACGCTTTGTTAATCGGAGCGCGCCAACGACGGTCACGCCGTGGCCCACTGCGGTATACGGTCGAACTAATCGCACGAGGAAATTGTGAAAGACTAAAGCGTGAAAAATTGACTGAGTTTTATCTACACTTTCTTATTTTTTTTCTTTTGTTTCTTTTTTGTACTTGCTGCGTATGTATGTGTATGTGTATGTGTGTTGTATTTTTTTTTTGAAATCATTTTACCTTCTATCGATTAAATTTTTTTTTCTTTTTTCTTTTTTTTCTCTTTAACTTTCATACATTATATATATATATATTCGTTGCCATGTTATGTGCTAATTCAAAACATATGTGCGAAAATATAATATCGATCCGATTGATTTCTTCTTATCATTTCTCTTCTTTATCATGACCCATTATGATAGTCAAATATTGCTTATCACATAGTTCTATAATCCCATCGACTCTTCTCGCTATGCCTTTTATATAACTGAGAAGGAAATACGATATAATACGTTTCGTCAGATGTAGTTTGTAACATTTTCACAGTGGAAAGGAAGCGTACGTTGTCTTTCGTTAAAACAAAAATAAAACAAAACAAAAAATAAAAAAAAAAGAGAAAAAAAGATCGTTAAATCAAGCTCTCGTAATTTTTTTCGTTTTTCATTTTCATTTCGTTCGTCGTCGTCAAATCAATAATGTTATCGGAAACTATACCGTTTTGTTCGAAGTATTGGTATCATATCGTTATCTTATTGTGCCTTTGTTATTTCTACGAGGATATACATCGTCGAATTAAACGAGGAATTTTGTCGATTTTTACAAAGGTATTTAAATATCCAGATGGTATCGGAACGGCGGATCAGAACGAAGGTACATATATAGGGATTATAGATTAAGTACTTTTTTTTTCCTTTCTTTCTTTTTTTTTTCTTTTTTTTTTTTTTATAACATTTAAACGAAAAAAAAAACAAGAGAAAGGAAAAAATAACGTTATCAGAAAGAAATTAATTTCATTTGTAATATAATTTTGTAGCGTTAGACGAGAAGGAGACGGATATTAAAGATAACGAAGATGAGGAATTCATGGAGTCTGCATTACCGAAAGATTTGAAACACGTATCTTACCGATATGTTAAACCGAACGAAGAGCAATTATTAATAAGAGCAAATAAATTTTATGAAATAACGAATGCGAGAAGAACTGTAAGATATTTTAGCGAAGAAAATGTTCCGAGAGAAGTGATACGTTATATTATCAAAGCTGCAGGTTATAAAATAAGACTCAATATAAACTTTGTATTATACATTTTCTTTTTCTCTTTTTTTTGTTCTTTTTTTTTTTTTTTTGTTTCATACGGATCTTTTTACCGTCGTCACCTTGCTTTCCCTTTTTTAGGTACTGCTCCCAGTGGTGCTCATACAGAACCATGGAGTTTTGTGGTAGTATCGAACAAAACAATGAAAAGTCGTATACGTGAGATCGTCGAAAGAGAGGAAGAAATTAATTATAAAAAAAGAATGGGAAAAAAATGGACGTCAGATTTACGTCCATTGAGAACTAACTGGATCAAGGAATATCTCACGACTGCGCCATATTTGATTCTAGTTTTCAAACAGGTTTATGGTTTCTTACCGAATGGAAAAAGAAAGGTTCATTATTATAATGAAATGAGCGTGTCCATTGCCTGTGGTATTCTTTTAACTGCCATCGAGGTATTTCCTTTCTCCGTATCGTATTACCTTTTTTTTTCTTACTTTCACTTTTAATTTCTTCTCCTTCTTCTTCTTTTTTTTTTCTTTTTTCCTTCGCGACATATCATCCGATCGATATTTCCTTTATTTTTATTTTTATTTATTTTTTTTTAATGATCTTTCACCGTTACAGTACACAGGTCTGGTCACTTTAACTTCTACACCTTTAAATTGTGGCCCAGCGATACGTGCTCTACTTGCACGTCCCATTAACGAAAAGTTGGTTTTATTATTACCGGTTGGTTATCCTGCGAAGGACGCTACCGTTCCCGATCTTCAACGCAAATCATTATCGGAGATCTTAACAGAAATCGAATAACATTGGGTTGTCTGTTACAACTCCTTTTTTTTTTTTTTTTTTTTAATAAAATTATTATCATTATTAATCTGTCATCGTTATTGAAGATATCTGTTTAATAAGGAAAAATAGGAAGAAAACAAAAAAAAAAAAAAAAGAAAAAAAAAAGAAAAACAAAAAAGAGTATTCCGTCTTCCTTGCAAAAGTAATATAGTCTCTTAGACTTCTTTGTCAAGTTTGATTTTAAGACGTTGGCTGGCATAAAGTAAAATAAAAAAGGAAAGAAAAAAAAAGAAAATGAGAAACGCCCTTCCAAAAAAAAAAAAAAGTTTTAGAAAGTGTCTCTGTGTGTAATTGAAATATGAAAGAAATTTTTATTACTATACATATTCTTGCTTTGTTGTTGTTGTTGTTGGTTTTTTCGTTTCGTTTTGTTTTTTTTGGTTTTCTTTTTTTTTTTTTTGTTTTTTTTCCCCCAGGAATGGGAAACGTTTACATGCACACAATAAAAAGTCCGCATTCCGAAGTTATACTAATACAATTTGTGTAAACTAATTTTTTTATCTTTTTTTTTCTTTTACCTTTATTTTTATATATTTATTTGTATTTTTTTTATTCTTTATTTTTTTTTATTTTTTTTTTTTATTTTTTTTATTCATTTTTTTTTTATTTTTTTTATTTTTATTTTTTTTTTTATTTGAATTTGCATACAATATGTTAAAAATAAGCAGTATAAAGTGTAAATTTATGATCTTTAATGAATAAGAAAAAACTGAAATATCGATTGCTCATATTTTAGTGATGTAGCTAACATACAATTCCATATGATTAGGCTGCCATAGCATTACGAAGTAAAAAAAGAAAAAGAAAGAGAGAGAGAGAGAGAGAAAGAGAGAGAGAGAGAGAGAGAGAGAGAGAGAAATAGAAAGAGAGAAAAAAAGAAAGAGATAGAGAGAGAGAGAGAGAGAGAGAGAGAGAGAGAGAGAGAGAGAGAGAGAGAGAGAGAGAGAGAGAGAGAGAGAGAGAGAGAGAGAGAGAGAGAGAGAGAGAGAGAGAGAGAAAACGAAAAGAAAGAAGAGAAAAATATTTTCATACTGTTGAGAATACCAAATATCACCACAGTATCTTAAATTAAGTACACTGAAGATATAAAATATAAAAATACTGAGTTATAATGACGGAGAAAAAACGGGCATATATAATATAATTATTTTTTTTTTTCTTTTTCGATCCTTTTTTTTTTTTTCTTTTTTCTTTTTGTCGCAGTACCGTAAGTCTGTATCTCATAGCTATGCTGCTACTAATGGCTATGTCAATAAGTGTAAAAGCTTGAATATCATGATACGTACAGATAAACAGAGAATGTTCCTATTTATCACTATTTACGAAACAGATATTTATAATATCATGTATTGTGTTATTTTATTTTTTATTTTTTTTTTCCTTTCTAGAATATCATTGATTTTTTTTTTTTTTTTTTTTTCAATTACTTTGCTTTGCTTTACTTTTACTTTTGCATCTTCCATGATACTTGGATTTAATGTATCCAAGTTAATAGCGAGGAGCTAAGAGTTAGTATGAAAATTTGAGATCACCAAAAAGTTTTGTTGAATTTTTAAATATTATCTTGGTTTGTTCTTCTTCTTCTTTTTTTTCTTTTTCTTGTTTCATTTCATTTCATTTCATTTCATTTCATTTCATTTCATTTCATTTAGTTTAGTTTAGTTTAGTTTAGTTTAGTTTAGTTTAGTTTCGTTTCGTTTCGTTTCGTTTCATTTCGTTTCGTTTCGTTTAAAATTGTAAAAGCAACCAAACATATTAAGTGTCAGTGGCTAAATATAGATTGATCCAGAACTAGGAGAGCATCGTTCTATTAATCATCATTTTACTTAAAACTAATTCATGTCATTTTGTTACAGCATTCAATATATATAGAGTCTATTATATATGTGTTCGAGTTCTAAAAACGATTAAAAAAAATACATTTGTCATATTTTCATGTATTATTTTAAGTCGAAATATTTGGATAGAAATATACATACATACATATATGTATATATATATATATATATTCCCCTCCCTTTATTTCACTTAAAACAATTAATCTCTTTGTCCGTTTTCTTGTAGGACCTTTGTTTGCACGGTCTGTTTTATGAGAGAAGCTTATATAACTATTTGTAAGAGCTACCTTATAAAAAAAAAAAAAAAAAAAAAAAAAAAAAAAAAAAAAAAAAAAAATCCAAAAAAGCAAAAAAAAAACAAAAAACAAAAAAGAAACCATAAATACACTTATTACATTTTTAGCTTTCTGAGATCCAGCAGTGCCTGAGAGATGTATTTCTAATAAACAACGAAGCTACGTATAAAATTCTCTTTCTCTAATTGTTCTTTCTTATAAATACAGTTAAAAAAAAAAAAATAAAAAAAAAAATTATAATAAAAAAAAAAAAAAAAAATAAAAAAAAATAAAATAAAATAAAAGAATGGCAAACGTTTAGATATACATATCTCGTTATAGGAATTAAAATCTCTCTTATTTTGTTGTTTCAATGAGAATTGATAAGAATTCTTGGATGATGGGGATATATAAATCGTTGAAATCTACGATAATACTATACATATGGAAATGGAATCGAGTACGAGGATAGGATAGTAGATACAGTATGGGGTAGGATGGGGGAGGGGATGGAAGTGGAAATATGGGTGGGAGCGATTGAGAGTCAGGTGTAGTGGAGTGGGAGAGAGGGTGAGAGGAGAGGATAGGAGAGGGGGTGGTTTGTATCTAAATAATACTCTCCTAATTCAAAGGACAACCGTAGTCGCACCACCACAACAACAGCGATAGATAGAGAACCGCGTGACTTATCTACGATATCAGACTTAATCACGGCGATGAAATTCTGCTATGCACAGACGGCAAGACCAGGAGCCCTCAGGAGGAGATGCGAGAGGTGGAGACAGACAATACATGTGGTATCCACGATCACAGTCGTCACAGAACAGCAGCTGATCCTATTTCGTGTCGCCAAATATATTAATAATAGCGTGAGAAAAAAATTTTCAAAGAAAAAAGAAAAAAAAGAGAAAAAGAAAGAAAGAAAGAAAGAAAGAGAGAGAGAAAAGGACGAGCGAACAAACAAACAAACAAACAAACAAAGAAACAAAAGAGAAAGAAAAGAAAGATAGAAAATTAAGAAGAAGTCGCTTTCATAGATTTTTAAATTAACATTATACGACCCGTTTTTTCTGTACTAATAATCTTAACGCGTATTATTTCGTTTTTTCTTTTCTTTTCTTTTTTTTGGGGGTTTATTCGTTCAAAAATAACAAGATCGTCGCAATATAATAGAAATGTGTAAGGTTTGCGTAAAAAAAAAAAAAAAAAAAAAAAAAAAAAAAAAATAAAAAAAAATAAAAAAGAAAAACAAAGAAAAAGAAAAAAAAAGACAAAAACAAAAAATCGAAGAAAAAAATCAACGTGTATATATAATATACATCACATATATATATACATATATAAACATATTATGAAATATATTATTTATATAGTATATATATATATATATATATATATGTATGTATGTATACATATGTCACGTGAAACAAAATATAAATGGATAATCGTGCTTCGAGAGATAAAACTTCGCGTAAAACTCGAATATTGAATAATCCTGCTTAAATTTAAAGGGATGAATATACTCACGTCGTTGTCAGAAGTGCCACATATGGAGCAACATTTGCATTCGATACACTGCCACCTGTACTTGCGAACAGAAACGATCATGTTCGCAGTGAATTGCAAACATGTTGGATGCCCTATAACAAGAATGTATGCACGTCATGGAATACGCATGTGGGATGGATTAGGATAACGATTGGACGAGCAGAAAGGTGCCAGGACATTTATCTTGTGCCGAAGAACAGTGAACTCCAAGCTATCTTTTTTCTTTTATTTATTTATTTTTTTTTCCCGTTTCAAATGTACTTATTATTTTTCAATATATATATATATATATATATAAACATATATATATGATTTTTTCCGTATCCAAATCGAGGCTCGATCGAATATAGCGCATTACGCATTACACATTTGCATTTCATATATAAATATTATGTATATACGACAAGAAAGTATCTCTGGTATTATATATTTTTTGTTTTTGTTCGGTAATTTCTATTTTTTTTCTTTTTTTTTTTTTTTTTTTTGGTAATTATTAATTTCTAATAATTTGTAATTTTTTTTCGTTTTTTTTTTTTTTTGTATTTTTTTCCCCGGTTAAATTTTGTCAAATAAGTGCGAATTTTATGTCTTTCACCTTTCCTCAGCACTAAACGTCCGGAATAATGAAACTTGTCCATGTTTCCGCACATAATGTTTTATTTCATGATACTCGCAATTTTTGATGTTGCCTTTTGAACATATGTACTTTTATTATTATTTGGAATAATAGGTGGTAAGTAATAGCAGGGCGTACCTTGGAATAGTTCACGTTCTTTCTTGCGCAGCACAATATAAACGTCGCAGATCAGCACACTCTCCCTCGCTTTCTCTCTATCCCTTTCTCACTCTCTCAAATTCTCATACGTACTACTACGCACACATCATCATCATCATCATCATTATCATCATTATCATCATCATCATCATCATCATCACACACAGAGATCATACACATGACACACATCACACACAGAGAAAGAGACACAGATATACGCACCCATATTCATCCCTCCCTCCTTCCCTTTCTCCCTAATTCCTACCCCCATCCCCAACACACACGCACACAATTCATAACGTATCACATTTGTATATATATATAATATATATATTCATATATATAACTAATGTTACTCTTAAACACTATATTTGTAAGCCTCATGGGTATTGCTTAATTAAAATTGCCTAATAACAAGTCTTCAATTTTATATAACAAGGAGGAACTATCTGCATGCTTTTTTTTTGTTTTGTTTCGTTTCGTTTCGTGTGTTGGTTTCTTTCTTCCTTTTTTCCAGTTATTTTTCTTTTTTCTCATTCTTTTTTCTTTATATATATATATATATACCATGTGAGTTTTTCTTATGACAATCTAAGAGTTATTTATTTTTAATCGGATAAACTGAAGCAAGATAGTTTTCTTTTTTGTTTTTTTTTTTCCTTTTTCTTTCCTTTTCTTTTGCTATTCTGTTGCATCAACTACGTAGCATTAAATGACGAAAAAATCGTCTTAAGCGCGCGGCACTATTGAATATATACATATGTATTATATATATATATATATATATATATATATATATATATATATATATTATGTAATATATATAATATATATGTATATATTGTTTCTTGCGTATATATATATACACATACACACATATATATATACATGTATATACGTATGTATGAATTGTAACGTATTTATTACTTTTGACGAAAAATTTGGAAAAAAAAAAAAAAAAAAACAAATTTTTTTCAATCTTCCAACTGAAACCTGAAGAAGTTATATAACATTTTTCTTTTTCTCGAGAAAAAAATTTGATAGCTTTTTTCTCGATGGTTAATAAGGTTGATTCAAGATTTTCATTTTCTTTTTCTTTGCTTTATAATAAGAAAACAATTTCAAAAAGCTGCTTATATTCCAATATATATGAATATGTCTATAAATACGCATGGAATGCAGCATTTGTATTATAGTGATCAATGATGTGTATATATATATATGTATATATATATATATATATGTTCCCATTCTTGAATTTTGACTTAAAAGTTTGATAGTTATATCGTAAAGAAATGCTTTTGGTATGTCTCTATGTATGTGCCTGAAAAACTCATAAGGTATTACATTAATGTTTTATATATATATATATATATATATATATATATATATATATGCATATATATATATACATATACATATATACACACACATACACATATATATATATATATTATATACACGACAATATTATTTCTATTAAAAAAAGAGAAAAAGAGGAAAAAAAAATAACCAAGCTATTTGTACAAGTATCAAAGCTTGTATAAAACTAAGCTATTATGTCAGATTTCTACAAAGAGACCATAATATCATATTATAGTCGTCACGATGCATTATTCTAGTCTCTGTGACACGTCATCAATATATTCGAATTCATACCTAATTGAAAAACATCTGACCATGAAAAATTTTCTTCTTGTTTTTCTTTTTCTTTTTTTTTTTTTTTTTTTTTTCATATTTCTTTTTTGCTTTTCTTTGTTTGCGTCTTCTTTTTTGTATATAATATATTAAGTTCTCCCAAAAGTTTCTTTCGCCCATCTTCACGCAGCTGCTTTAATCTGGCAGTGTTCAAAAACGAAAGAAACTTTTGAAACAATCTAATATATATATATCATATATATCATAACTTTTAAATATACTTAATAAATATTTGTGTGATATCATTCGATGACATCTGCTGATACCTAATCGTTTATTCGTTCGATAAATTTTAATAAATACTCATGAAAACTTATTTTATTCGAGTTAATTCAAAAGAAGGATAAAAGAAAAAGAAAAAAGAAAAAGAAAAGAAAAATGAAAAAGAAAAAAGAAATAATAATAATAATTATTATTATAATGAATTAAGAGCAGCAAATATATAGTCAAAGTACAGAATTAGAGAATCTGGAAGAGAGTAATTGAAAAGTTGTGCCCCATGTTTTTACTATTGGCAGGAAGTCAATGTCTATGGTATGTATATATATATGCCATTATTATTTCTATAATTACTTCTAATCGAAGGAGAAAAAAAAAAAAAAAGAAAACATTATTGCAACGTACTCTACGATTCTTTATTATATAAATCTATTGTAAATTAAATCTATGACCCCATAAAAACGTTATTTACATGTTTTTCAATGTAGAAGCCAAAAAGCAATGAAGTTGCTGATATTCAATAGTTTTTTCTTTTTTCTTTTTTTTTGTTCGTTCATTCGTTCATTTTAGAATCAATTCATAAGAATATTTTTCCTTTTTTTTTCTTTTTTTTTCTTTTTTTTTTTTCTTTTTTTTTCTTTTTTTTTTTTTTTTTTTTGTAGAGTACTGGCATAATTATTTTATCGGATATTATAGCTTAGCTTGTTAATAATATATGTATGTATTTATGTGTGTATGTGTGTGCCTGTACAATCTCTATATAAATTACACTTGCTCAATTCGTTATACTTTCGTTTTGCTTGCCATTTAAAATGAAACCATTTCTTTTTTTTTCTCTTCATTTTTTTCTTTCGGCATGGAAAAGTGCTTTTTGATTATCAAATGCCTTCTATGGGTTTTAACAAGCAAAAGAATGAAAGAGGGAGGAATAATAAAAACTATACGTTATATGAGAGTAGTATAAACGTTACTTGTGCCCATCTTTCAGACAATCTTAATTAACAATTTCTATGTGAAAATGATCAAGTTTGAAGAAAAAGAAATTAAAGGGGAAAAAAAAAAAAAAAAAAATAAAAAAATAAAAAAAAATATAAAAAATTAAAAAAAAAAAAAAAATAAAAAAAAAAATACAAAAAGGGATAAAGAAAAAAAAAATGACGACACGAAGGGGGAAGGCATAAAGTTCGTTTTTTTTTCTTCTTTTCTTACAACTGTACCTATTTATTTTGATACTATGTTAAACTTTTAGTACTGTTATATGTGCTGCGCTGTTTTGCTTCTATCAGAGTATCTGGAAATTCAAATATGCAATGAATGCAAAAGATCCAAACACAACTTCTTGTTTGTTTTTGTTTTTTTTTTCTTTTTGTATTTTTTACAAGCTCTAAAAATTTGTCTCTCTCTCTTTCTCTCTCTCTCTCCCTCTCTCACAATACCAAAGACACATGGTCAATATTATAATATTTCTATATATATCACTTTGAGTATGTTGCTCTCTCTCTCTCTCTTTTTTTTTTAGAAGTGATTCTCATGTGATTGTGCTAGGTTTATATATATATATATATATATATATATATATATATATATATATGTATATATATATGTATATAATAAAGATATTCTCAATAAACCCTATTTAAATTACTTGATATAAATTATGTTTGTTTTTGTTTGCATTTTTCCTGTTTTTTCTTTTTTTTTCTTTTTTTCTTTTTTTTTTTTTTTAAGCCTTTTTTCTTTTTCTCTTATATCAAGTATGCGCATTTTCATTTGATTTCAAACACAATAACATAAAGACGATACGATACACTGTCAAACAGAAGACAAATACATCTTCTTCAATATGTGCTCTAGTGATACTGTGCAACAGGAATTTTTAAAAATTTTACATCTTTCTTTTCTTTTCTTTATTTTTTTTTTTCTATTTTTCTTTTTGCTCCGTTTTTCGTTACGTTAGTCCGTTAAGAATTATTTTTAAAAAATCACACACGCCTAAAAAGATCTACGAGTTTGAAAATTGTACAATCGGAATCATATAACTTTTTTTTCATCTCTCCCCTCCACTCTTTCTTTTTGGTTTTTTTTTACTTTTTTTTTTGTTTTTTTTTTTGTCTTTTAATATTTCGTTTGCGTTGAATTTCATCTTTTTTGTACGTTTCTCTCGTTTTATTATTATTTTTATTTTAGTTTATTAGTATGTATTCTTTATTTTATATTTCTTTTTTTTCTCTCCCTTCCTTTCTTTTCTCTTCTTTTCTTTTCTTTGTAAAAATCGTATCTTATAAACTAATCATTGAATTACAATAAATCACAGTTAATTTCCTTTTTCTTTTTTCTTTTTATTCTTTTTTTCTTTTTTTTTTTTTTTTTTTTTTTTTTATGCCGTAAAGGAATTATTGAAAATTCCTATTACTCAGATGCGACAAGTTGCACCATTGACAAAGTGATGTTTTGCTTTTCTTGTCTTGACTAGTGTATATATATAAAGCTTATAACCACTTGACCTACAATGTGCGCAGATAATTTAATAGTTTTAATTATTGCACACACAATAATACATTTCTATGATCCTTCGGAATAATAACTTTCGAAATATGTCACACGTAGCGACTCTGTAACTGTATACAACTCAAAAATCATTTCATTGATAACAAATTATAAACAAATTATAAAAATTTTCAACAAGGACAATTCTATTCGTAAATTAACATTTACAATCAGACTTTTGTTTTGTAACAAAGCTTTAAACGGGCAAAACAAAAGAAAATTTTAATACGATTTAAATATTTTATTTCATATCCCGATACTTCTATCTCACTTTACTTATGCGCGTGATATATATATATATATATATATATATATATATATACATTTATTTATTTATTTAAAAATTATGTTAATATAATAAAAACTACATCTATTACATAATACTACAACATATGCTTCATAGCAAAGAAAAAAAAAAGAAAAGAAAAAAAAAAAAAAAAAAGAAAAAAAAGAAAAAAAAAAGAAAAAAAAAACAAAGAAACAAAAAAGAAAATAAATAAAATAAAACAATGCCCGTCGTATGCAAAACAAAAACAAATATTTTCTCAATTAGCTAAAAATATTTTTTAAGAACAGTCTTATTAATTTAAATATATTTATATATATATATTTTATATAAATGTATATATATATATATATATATATATATATATATACATATATATATAAAATATATTAATATACATTTTATATATATATATATATTTTTACACTAATTAGAAATAAATCAAATTTTGTTAAATAGTCTTTCCATTAGAAATATTATATAACGTGACATATTATAAACATAGAATAGATATTAATTATATTTGAAAACACTTATGCAGTTAATTTCAAATCTAGCAAAAACTCATTTATTAAAACTACTCCAAAGTCACGATTTCCGATTAGAAGTGTTCAATTTTCTATTTTGAGTTGCATATGCTTGTAAGTTTTGAGTTACAGATCGCGGTTAGACATAAAGAAAGAACATTTTTCTTTAATCAACCTTTTTTTTCCTTTCCCCTTCCTCTCCTTCTTTTTATTCCTCTTATTCGTTTTTAATTTTACTTTTAATTTTACTTTTTATTTTGTTTCTTTTTTTGCTTTAATTTATTTATTTATTATTTATTTATTTTTTTTTTCTTTTTTCATTTTTCTTTTCCTTTGCTTTATTTCGTCTCGTTTGGATTTTGTTCTTTCCTCTCAAATTAAATAAATTTGTTAGGTCAGAATGTTTATCGAAAAGAAATAATAATATAGACGCGACTAATACGATTATCGAAAATATATCAATATGATTAATTATGATTTGCTCTGCGTGTATACTTGCGTTTGACTTTCTCCTCGAGCTTACCTGAGCGACCGCAATCACTGCAAGAGACCAATTCCTCTGATCCACCAGTTTTTTTATTCTCTCTTGCATCGCCCAAACAAAAGTCACAGTAGGGAGAGGGTTGCGCGGATTTTCCAGGCTTTTTCTCAGCAGGTCCAGGCGTTGGTGGTCCACCCTCGGGTCTAACTGAGGAAGGAGAAGGTACAGCGGTACCACCAGGAGATGATACTGCTGGTAGATGATCTTCCTTAGGTGGTGGTATAGTAGGCGATGTTGGTGCGATGGGCGTCTGAGCTGGTGGCAACTGTGCTGGTTGTTGCGGCTGCGTTGTGGCTCCCGCAGCAGGGGCAGCTGGTGCTGCGGGAGAGGGACTCGAGGTACTCGAGGTAGTAGTGTTCTGACGACCCCGACGTGTACCACCTAGTCACAAACCGACCACATACCCAGTTGCGCTTTGCGTCACAAGCTAATGACCATGCACACTGGCTTATATTGACAATAATTTATATTCAATTCTGTGAAAATGTCTTTTAATAATCGATTCAGTTATTCACATGATAATGAATTATGTTCTAAATAGTAAAATAATAAGATAATGAAAAATATATATATATATATGTATATATATATACATATATATATATACACATATATATATACATATATATATATTAAATCAAGATATAATTTCTATATATGAATGATAGAGAAAAGTATGATTATTACGCATCGAAACATTTTGTATGTATGTTTTGAGAGAGATAGAAAATCGATATTAACATTGAATTTTACAATTTCATTTTCTTTCTTCTTAGTTTTCATTTTTATTTTAAGTTCTAATTTTCTTTTTTTTTTTTCTTATTTTTTATATCCTCATTGCATATCGTTCCAATAACAGAATCAATTATTTAAACTCCACAGTTTATTTATTTTTTTTTTTTCAGACAAACTGGCACAACAATGAAAAAGAATCCAATTATATGTTTTTTCTTTTTTTTTTTACTTTCTTTTTTTTCTTTTTTTTTTTTGTAACAAGATGCATTTCGATCAATACATTCCATCACCAACAACTATTTCAAAATACAATATCTAAATACTTGACTTAAAGAACAGGCAAACAAACTTTACTATAAATATACTAAAACACTACTGCAAATTTATCAAATTTATATTTTTTATTTAGTCAAGCTTCAGCATTTTATGATAGGAAACTTGAAGCCAAAATTGCTTTAGGAATCAAGTAAGCATCAAAAGAGCAAATAAAGTAATATCTAAAACAGTTAGATCTACCTGTAATTACTATCATGCTAAAAAATTAGGATATAGGAATTACTGATAAAAACACACACATACCAAACACTCAGAGACATGACTGTGCCAAAAAAAAAAAGAAGTTACAATTCAAAGGACATAATGGATCATCGCTTTTCTCTAGTAATGAAAACATTTGATTTATGCATTTGCAGAGGCATGCATTGCAAAGTATATCTAAAAACATCATATCGATTGATTCCTTCTTTACCAAAATATTTACTGTGAAAGACTTTCTCTTTGTGCACGTATACTATCTAAAACAAACCATTAAAACTTTGCTGATTCAAATATTTCTTAATTTTGTACTTTTTTTTTTGTTCTTTTTTTTTTTTTATTTTTTTTTTTTTTTTTTTTTCAAAGCTGACTTGGTGTAATATAAATGAGATGCTATATAAATCTGTCCTGGATGAGAAAATCATCAGAACTTACAAGACAAACATTACATTTATATATAACGGTATTTGCAACGCATGCATTTGCAATACATATAAAAATATATAATCAATTTCTTTATGTCAAAGGATTATTAAAATAAATAGTTGCATGGATAGGATAAATTGTTGATATGAGTAATAGGTAAGTGGTAATATGTGACGGGATAAGGTAAGGAATATTGGCTTAAGGGAAAGTGAGAAAACTGAGCTGATTTTGGCTCCAACCTGGCTGGTTCGAAGCAGCGGTGTCTGCAACGCTCCTAGGTTCAACTTCGGCAGGACTGGGACTTAGTTCCTTAGCAGGATCACCAGAGGAAGTAGAGTGGGAATGACCATAATGGTAGACCAGACCAGGTCTGGTTTTATACCGTGCGCTGCATACTGCAAAAGTGCAAATACTGTTTTCCCGCAATCCATCTAACGCAACGTCCATGAAAAGACAGACCTCTTTTAATGGATATTTGGGAAGGTTTCAGGACCGAAGCTTACGGGTCAAGGAAAAGGAAATTTGCACACCTTCCGCACCAGTACACATCCCTATCCACCTACAAATCTATATGTGGACAAGCAGTGAAGGAGTTCCAGCCCAAGAAGCAAAACTAATACGATGCAAGGCTTGATGCTTGTATACTCCTACAGAATGAGCTCGCTACAGTGTGAGCCAGTACATTATTGCTCTGTTATTGGCAGGTAAAATAAGTCTAAAGATATTTGGCCACTTTCATAAGCTCGCTTAAGAACAGACAAAATTGCTAATTCTTATTGACAGTAGGAGCTTACTATATGAGACCAAATTTCTTAAGATTTCTGCTAGTCTAACAGGAGTGGTTTCAAGAAGTAAACAGATTGCAGGCACATTCGAGTTAATTCGCTAGACTTTGGGTCTGAAAAAGTATTTGGGTCTAATTAGTAATGACTATTGTATTCCTTCAAAACTTTAACTGCTATGGAATTACTATTATTAACAAAAATTATTTATCAATGTTTACTAACACTATATTCATACTGGATTATTTCTCTTTATAAAAAAGTATATTATGTCTGTAGGAGAGAAAAATCAGTTTTAAATATACTAAAGATTCATAGAGGTTATTGCTTCAATTTGGAAAGAATAAAAACATAACAAAAGAAAGTATTAATATGATATTAGGAAAGTAAGTAAAGGTAAGTAAGTAAACAAAAGTTTGGAAGAGTGTTAAACAAATTCGTAAAATATCGGTTGTAAAAAAGACATCTCCCTGTTATGAGTTAAACTTTACATTAAAACATCAAGATAAACTAGAAATTTGTGTTTTCTAAAAATCTATGAAACGTTAAATAAAGACACAACTACTATAAACTTGAAGGAAAACAACAATCAATACGGTACCGATCACTTTTATATATCAAGATTAATACGAGACTAAAGAGCACCTTCCCACATTATAGTTCATTACATGATCGATCACCATCCCTCGGTGTAAGATTATGCAGTATTCAACACTAAAATATTTAATAATTTATTTCTAGCTTCCATCTTATTTTATACCATAAAGTAATTTTTGTGTACCTTGCAAAATTATATGTAGATGTGGTTAAAGTATAATAACTAAATAATGTTAACAAATTTGATAACGCGATGCGTTTGTTTCTTAAACAAAACAATAACTGACAGAAATAATAGTAATAATAATAATAATATTAATAATAATAATAATATTTGGTGAAACTGATAACAGGAGAGAATCATTTGTAGTTGTATCTATGATTAAACTTACGGTCACAAACGAATGGCTTATCGGAGTCAACAGCATCATAGTTAGTTTTCTTACGGCCACGTCCCCCACCCTAAATAAAATAATAGAACAATCGTTTCATTATTACACTATTCTAACATTTTAATATCATTAAATGTTCTGTCCAATATTCATTGATATTAATCAACAATACCTTTGTACGTTTGGTCCCAGGACTATCCGTGGTTGGTGGATGACTTCTGGCAGGATGATGACCACCACCTCTGTGTTTTCTCCTTTTCCTTTTACTACTGTAACTTTCTTCATAATCATAATCACTATCTGGATCAGGTTCTTCATATGCATCCATATCCAACATGTCTTGTTCATCATAATACCATGCATCTTTACTATGTTCATCTTTTTAAAAAATAACAATTAATTAATTATTATTATCCATATTTAATAACAATTATCATAAAATCATATTATTTATTATTATATATACCTTTAAGTCCAACTGATTCTTTACTATCATCATTGACATGTGTTATAGTCTCTACACCTTCAGATCCATCTTCTGTGTCACCTCTCGGTCCACGTTTTGGATGTAAATAATGCATTAAATATTGACGCCTCTTTTTCCTCCATCGTTTGCTTGGATATGTATAAATTTGTCCGTGTAATAATCCCGGTAGCCTTTCTCTCGAGGACATGAAAAGCGTAGAATGATTCTGCGCTACACCTAAAAATTTTAACAATGATAAATAACATATTATCAATATGTATAAGAAACATTAATTAAATTCTTTATTTTACAGTAAAATCATTATAACATCAAATTGTAAATACTGATATGTTCGGTCTTTATAAACATTCATTTACATTCATAAACAAAGTAAATTTTCTATCGGATCAATAAACGTATCTTATAAATAAATTCACACGTGCACGAATGTTAGACAAACAAGTTGAAAAAAAAAAAAAAAAAAAAAAAAAAAAAAAAAAAAAAAAAAATATATATATATACATAAATATTTACATATATAAAATATTTTAATTTACCCGTCTGTGAGTCCAGAAAGGGCATACGTAACCTCCTTTCTCTGCATAATCGACTGTTATAATTCGACGAGTTTTCAATGGCTTCCCTGTATGCAGTGTCATTGAGAAAACTAAGAAAGAGAGAGAAAAAAAAAAGAAAATATTCATAACAGATAACGTTTATATATATATATATATATATATATATATATATATATATATATATATATTTCCTCAATTTATATTAAATAATGATATTATATTGAAGATGATTTCTCTACCTTTCTATTTTAAGTAAATTACTTTCGTTAACTACTTGAATAATTCCATGAGAAGCAGGAGAGATAGCAACAGCTGTCATCTTTGAGCAAGCCTCTGCTGCTCCTACTTTGCCGCTTGGACTCCTTCTTTTCGGAAGTGTAACTAACATAGTCAAGTGTAAAAAATCATTACTTCCGGTAATATCTATATAAATCATTTCATACACAATATTTAGATATTTTTTTTGAACTTATTTTCAATCTTATAAATTCTCAATAAATAATTTCTTATAATATCGTATATAATTTTTTTTTCTTTTTTTTTTTTTTTTTTTTAATTGCGATTATATCATAGATTAATCGTAATGCATTAAATCAAAAACTTATATCGATTCGTGATACATACTATATTATGCTTCTCTATCGTAAATTTTATAATCAAATAATGTAATATCAGAGAAAATTATTTATCTCTTTTACTGACACATATTTATTTATTTTACAACTCGTTAATTATAATTTGATATATCATTGTCATATTAATTTTACACGTAATAAATATTAAGTACAACTCTTAATGTGACGGATATAGAAAAGTGATGGGAGACAAGTATTAAATCAAATGAAAAAGCGATTGTGAGTTTTATTTGAATAGTGCTTGATAAAGGAATCAAAGGAGAGAAAAAAAATAAAAAAAAAAAAAAAAGGAAAAGAAATAAAATAAAAAAAAAAGAAATAAAAAGAAAATTAAAGATCACATTTGTATTCAATGGTAGGAATCAAAATGGTTACTATATACTATTTTCAAAGATTCTTATTTGTTTTTTCTTCTCTTTTTTTTTTTTTGTTTTTTTTATGTTTCTTATAAAAATGCTGGAAATCCTTTCTCTGAAGACTGGAGTGCATTTTATTCCTAAAATGTATTCAAAGCAGTTATACACGTTATCAACGTGTTAACTACTTGTAAATTATGGAGCACAGCCATTGAGATGAACATTTCAAATCACAAACTCATAATATTATATCATATATTGATTATGTGAAAATGTAAGCAATCAACATCTATTTTCTCTTTCTATTATTTCAATTTTAACAAGGCAACTTGTTGAGCTATCCTTTTGAAAATTGTATGTATGTATTTTTTCTTTTTTTTTTTGGGTTTTTTTTTTTTTTTTTTACAAGACACACTCCTCTTGTTTGTTATTTTTTTTTTTCTATCTACTGCAAAAGATTATCGTTTTATGATGCTGAATTACAATGTGAAGTTCCATAATTGAATACCAAAGTTAGGATATGGCAAAAACTTTTCATAAATATATTATGTCATATATGAAATATTGTGAATTCTAATGATCTGAAGCACTTTTTTTTTTTTTTTATTCCTTATCCCCTTTCTTTCTGTTCTTTTTTTTCTTTTTGTTGTTTTTTTTTTCTGGAGGGGGAGTGGGTTTTTCTTATATGCAAAACATGTTTCTTAATCAGACACTATTACACTTCTGTTCAGACTATAATGTTCTAATAAGAAACAAAAGGATAGATTAATTTTCATTTTCTTTTCTCTTCTTCTTCTTCTTCTTTGTTTTTTTCCTTTTTCAAATGAGCTGTTTATATAAATTTGCCACTTAATAATTATTCGCGTACGAAAAAACATACTAAATTATTCTTCTGTATACCTAACTAGCTAATTATATGAAATATTTAAGAATATATATATTGCAGAAAAGGATTTATTCCAATATTTTAAAGTGCATTAAGATCGTATCTTATAACTTTTTCAAGCTTAGTGATATTACCTACATATAAATAAATTGTCTTGATAAAGAAAGTAGATTTATTGAAACCTTTCCTCGCAGTTACGGTCTTTCCTTTCTTTAAATAATTTAAACTTTTCGATTAAATCCTCCGTTTTGATTTCACCGTGAACAACGTTATCTCTCGTACGAACGTTCACAGTCTCTGCGTTTCGTTCTTTCTCTCCAACAACTGAAATAAAAGAAGAAAAAAAAAAAAAAGAAAAAAGAAAAAAAGTGTTATATTTTTAAAAGAGATAATATGATTATTAATGATATTATAATATTTTAATATGTACCAAGTATAAAGTTAAATTGTGCCAATTGAGCATTACGAATTTTTTTGTTCATCGTATCACTAGAATCAGTATCAACTTCTGCATTAAAACCTGCCTCCCAAAGTTTTGTTTTAACTTCAATCGCATATTCCTCAAAAGGTGTTCCAACAGGAATCACCATTACTTGTCTTGGTGATAGCCAAAATGGCCACTTTCCTGCATAAGATTCGGTAAGGATAGCGATCATTCTTTCTACAGAACCCAATATAGCTCTGTGAATAATTACTGGCCTTGTCTTTTCGCCTGATTCACTGGAAAATAATAATACATATTATATACGATATAACGATGTGAATATTTTATGACAAACTTATATTCAGTTTCACAACTTACTTGATGTACGATAAATTAAATCTAATTGGTAATTGAAAATCTAATTGTATCGTAGCACATTGATGTGATCTTTTTAAAGCATCCATAATTGTTATATCAATTTTAGGACCATAAAAAGCACCATCCTGAGGATTTACTTTCCACGATTCTCCAAAAGCATTTAAACTGTCCTCCAATGCTTTTTCTGCTAAATCCCAAAGAGCCAAATCTCCCAAATATTTTTCAGGACGCGTAGATAAACATAAATTAAACGTAAAACCAAATACAGAATATACATGACGTAGGAAATCCAATGCTCCTAACATTTCATCCTTGATTTGATCTATCGTGCAAAATATATGTGCATCATCTTGTTGGAAACGTCTAACTCTAGTAAGACCGGTTAATGCGCCAGATAATTCATTACGATGTAATACACCAAAATCTGCCATTCTTAAAGGCAATTCACGCCAAGATCTATTTCTTACGTCAAAAATCATACAATGACCTGGACAATTCATTGGTTTTAATGCAAACGTTTCCTTTTCAACGTCAAATGAAAACATATTATCTGCATAATGTTGCCAATGACCAGAAGTTTGCCATAATTTACTATTATAAATATTAGGGGAGACAACCTCTTGAAAACCTCTCTTTCTATATTCACCACGAATAAATTCGATTAAAGTGTTATAAATATAAGCGCCACGTGGTTGAAAGAAGCAAGAACCCGGTGAAAGTTCATGGAAAAAGAATAATTCTTGTTCCTTTCCAATTTTTCTATGATCACGTTTAGCAGCTTCTTCTTGAAATTTTTCCCATTCTTTCATTTGTTTAGTATCAGGAAAACTTATTCCATATATTCTTTGTAATGATTCTGCTTCCGCATTACCTTCCCAATACGTTGAAGAATTTTTGGTAACTTTAATAGCTTTAACTTTTCCCGTATGTCTAATATGTGGACCTCTACATAAGTCGATCAATGGGCCACATCTATAAACCGTAGTAGTAGGAGTATGTACTTTATCATTTAAAATTCGTATTTTAAATTCATTATACTTAAACATTTCTAATAAATCTTCTTTTTTCATTTCGAGCCTTTCAAATGGTTGCTTTTCTTTAACTATTCCCTTATATAAAGTTTCCAAAGAAGGAAAATCTAAATTAGATATACCTTTGTCGCCAAGGTACATGTCATAATAAAAACCATTTTCAATTGGAGGTCCATAACATAAACAACCACCATATATTCTTTCCATGGCTTCTCCAAGGATATGAGCACTAGAATGCCAGAAAACTTGTTGTGCATCTGGATCGTCGAATTTAAGAAGCTGAAGTTTACAATTGTATTCCAAAGGTCTATCGAGATCCCAAAGTTCATTATTAACCTTTGCTATTACAATACTATCCGATAGTCCTTGACTAATATTCCTTGCTATTTCATATGGTGTAGTACGCCATGATTGACAGGTAATTTCTTTCCCATCTGGAAGCGTCACAATTATCTCTTCTGATTCTTTATTAGCAATTTCAGCATCGTATTCAGCTTTTAACTTATCCCATAATATTATACGTTCCTACGATTACATAGATACATATATATTATATAAAGTTTAAAAAATATAATAACAGATAAATATTATTAAAAATATTTGTCTAAATTATTTACTTGTATATATTCGGGCCATGGATTTAATTCACAAATTGAATTCTTTTCAACTGCAACTTTTTTCTCTTTTCCTGGCTTCATTTTTGCCTGAAAAAAAGAATGAGAAAAAAATATACAAACGATCAGTAAACTATATTACGAATAAGAAATAATGAAAGGAAAGGAAAGAGAGAACAAAAAAAAAAAATTATGCTTCTGTCTTTTTACGAAAGTAATGGAAAAATCGTCAAGATGAGTTGTTGCAAGTGTTAAGAAAACGAATATTAAGGTTACGTCAGATTATTGATTCATATGTTACAATAGATGATTACGATAGTAAACAAAGACGAGGACAGAAAAAAATGTTATTTAATGATTAAAAATGATCTTTGTTTTTCTTTTCTTTTTTTTTTGTTTTTTTGTTTTTTTTTTCAAAACACGATAGTTCCATAAAATGATAACAATATAACTTTATAACAAACCCAAGCGTACTTCCGTCTAGTACCACTGTAAATGATCCTATAACCGTAAAATCGCAAAGACGTCAACATGATTTTTAAAAATTAAAGATATAAACGAAATGATAATTATATGACTCGTGCCTTTTCTTCCTTAATATTTAAGGTTTGCACATCGGATGATACCACGTTGTCAACCATGTTGTATTCACACTATACTTATTTGTTCTATTTAAATCCTTTTCACCGTTGTTCGTCAATTATATATAATAATTTCTCTAGAATGATTAAATTTAATGGAAATTACGATAATTATAATTCATATGTTATAATATAAATTAATGGATGATCGTATAATAAATGTATATTTTTGTTAAATCTGTTATAACAATATGATTCACTGTTAAAGCTGTCCATTACCTTTTGTTCGAAACGTGTAACGTGTCCAGCCACAGGTATGGACAAATTATGAACAACGAATAAAATCGGTGAACGTTGTCTTCACTATTATCGTATTAGAGTATAATTTTGTATTGGTTATTTTTCTTTTACGCGTACATAACGAGATTGATTTCGTATAGGTTAAAGTAAATAGTTCAAGTAGACTATGAACTTACACTTTTCAGTCACTCGTATGTACAATCTATCATTGATGGTAACAGCATACGTCTCTCGTGTGATTCGTACTAAATAGAAACGTTCTTACGTATTTATTTCACGATAAAAAGCATAAAGATAATTAATACATTTAATATAATTAACATAATTAATCAGCTTTTTATGATTCATATATTTCGAAATATTACGATTATAAAATTTGGCTTAAATAAATATATTTCTTATATGATATATATATATATATATATATTAAAGTTCTAAATTATTAGAAAGAAAAAAAAAGAAAAAAAAATACATGCCGATCCTGCCAGGATTCGAACCTGGAATCTTCTGATCCGTAGTCAGACGCGTTATCCGTTGCGCCACAGGACCATCTTGATCATTCTATTATTTATATGGTTAATAAATTAAAATTATTTATTGTAATTTAATATAATACAATTATTTTATGAAATTTTTATTATTCTTATAAATTCTCCGTACTAATTATAATAAACGGGAAATATTAATAAAAAGTCTATCATAAAACAAAAACATTTATCTTTGTGATAAAAAATAAGGAACAAGTACTACGATACAAACTGGAAAGAGAGTATAATTATTAATAAATCAATGCTTTAATTGGATTTATAAATATATAAAAAAAAAAACCTTTATTACTTTAATATAAAGGAAATCACTTAAGTTACAGTTTGAAAATTAAATTTAAACTCTTGCGAGCTATTCTTATCAACTATAGATCTATCATTATTTAACGAATCATGAGATTGTTCATTTAATTCACTATCACTAGTTTTAACAGAATTCTGTTTTACATTAGTAGAAGCTTTTCGTAAGAATACAGATTTTTTATATAAATTTGGCTTATTTGTAAATTTAACTGATGCGACATGCTTAATAAGTTTCTGTTCATCCTGGATCATTTTCTCTCTATAATTTCCTAATTTATTTCTCATAATTTGTCTCTTTTTTATCAAAGGCGCGCTATTACTTTTTAAAGTATTCAAACTTTTGGAAATATCCTGAGCTTGTTTCATTTGCACTTTTCCTTTCTCTAAACTCGATTCTAATTCTTGAATGCACCAATAAAGTTCTAATACAAATTGATCCTCGGCTTCTTGATTTAATCCGCTTACTGTTTCTACGCTGGAAGATGGAAGATCACTCTTTACTTCTGAATTTGTTTCCACATTTTTTTTTTTAGAAGATATCTTGTTATTCTAAAAACACAATTGATTTATTTTAACAATAACAATCATTTTTATATTCATTATATATTGCATTAATAATTGTTAACAAATCTTTAAAAATAAACTTGCAAATCATTAACAACTAATACATATTATATATTACTTTTGCTTTTGGTTTCATTATGATACACAATAAAAAATACTCTGTCACAAAGTGCGTAATACGTAATTTATAGGTTATATGATCAGATCGTAAAATGACGTCTTTCAACAAACTGCAATAGTTGTCATTTTGGTGTGACGATCAAATAAAATGAGAATAACATCAGAAGAAAAATCTCAAAGTTGATTGGTCGCGTTAGTTATATAGCGAATCGTTTATTGGCTCAGCTTTGTTGCCATTTACAATAGTGCACCAATGGCGATAGCAAATGTTAGTACCACGGTGAGATTTCGATTAGTACGTAGTACGTGCTATCTCTGTTTTTGTTGATCAGCTCACGAGAGTGTTTATCACATGTGTTTAGAAGAATAATGCTACAGTGTAGAAAAGTGTAGAATATATTTTTATTATTTTCCGTATTCTGATGAGTTTTGTTTGGATTGATTATTATTTAATACACATTAATACGCGATTTTCGTTCTTCTCGTTGAGTTCATAACCTAACAGATTAATATCTTTCGATTCAATCGAATCATAGTATCGTTAATTGTTTACATTATCAGAGATTTGAGATTTGCTATTGCATTGATATAAATTACGACAAACAAATTGAACAACCAGGTCCACTTTGTTCTGGCTCGATAACTCCTATTATTGTGATATAATTAAAGGTAAATTCATTTGAGTTAAAAGTAACCGTACGATAAGTGACTTAAGAATGAAATACATCTTCTGATTGCAGATGTTACGTTCACAAAGTGATCTCTGTCGTAAATCAGACTGCGTCGTCTTAATCTCATACGAAAATGGATGAGTAATGAAAGTTTGATGATCATCAACCAAAAAGTTCATATTCCTTGGAATGGAGACACACCTCATACAGCAGGTATGTAACAAAAATGTAACTAATAATTATTAATTTCATTATAAAATCAAGATAGATAATTCCTATCATAATTCCTATCATTAGTAATCACATATATTGATAAAACAAACTTCACTAGTGATATTCACATTTGAACAAAATAATTATTCTTTGTTAGTCCATAACGAATAATTATATCAATTGTCTGATATAATTAGGAACTGAAAAATGAATATTAAACATTAAATCAGAGCATTTCTCTGATTAGTGCAATTTCACAATTTTGCAGTTTTATATAAAACAAGCTATAATTTATTTCTTTTGAAAATATTCGAGTATGTATTACTTGATAATATTTTAAATATCAAAATAATAATCGAATATAATTGAAATTTTTCAGATTTGTTACGATATAGTCGGAGCTTCTAAAAAAAAAAAAAAGAGGACGTTATCAGTATGAGCATTAAGATCAACAAGTAAATTTAATTTCTTTCATGGTATTATTCAAATCTAATATAACATTGAATTGTCGATGATTATATGAAGTCAAAAACGAAAGAGAAGTTGTAAGAGGAATAAACATTTGTCAAAAGGATCATCAGCAATAATGTATTCGAGTAAAGGCGATCGAAAGGGAGGGGAGAAAAAAAAAGAAAAAAGAAAAAGAAAAAAATAGAAGAAATAGAAAAAATAAAAACCTCTTAGAGTAACTAGGAAATATGATGAAATGAGAATCGAATTAATTCGACAGTTTATTACATTCAGTGTGCCGGTATAGAAATATTATACAAATTCGAAGATGTTCGAACGAATTACGAAACGTTAGAACTACATGGTTTCTCTTTCTTTTTTTTTCCTTTTCTTTTCTTTTTTTTCTCTTTTTTTTTTCTTTTTTTTTTTTTTTTAAACATATACATACAAGAGAGAGAGAGAGAGAGAGAGAATGAGAGAGAGAGAGAGAGAGAGAGAGAGAGAGAGAGAGAGAGAGAGAGAGAGAGAGGGAGAGAGAGAGAGAGAGAGAGAGAGAGAGAGAGAGAGAGAGAGAGAGAGAGAGAGAGAGAGAGAGAGAGAGAGAGAGAGAGAGAGAGAGAGAGGGAGAGGGAGAGCAACGTGTAACGTTTCTATACAAACATCCAACACGGCGAGCACAACGTGTGCACATAAAATAGCTCGCCATTTCTACTAAATGAGAACTGTCCTAATTTATAATTCTAATGTAATGGAGTATTTTATTTACAATTTAAGTGCTTTCTTCTCTCCTCCTACCCCCCCCCCCCCCCCCCCCCACACTCCCTCCCCTTCCCCTCACCCCGTAAATTTTTGTTAAGCTCGCAAAGTGCTGTACATACTTTGGTATTTTTTGCTTTTTTCTACTTTTCTTTTTTTCCCCCTCTTTCAATCGAATCTGTCTCTTCTAAGAGAGTTTTCATCATGCACGCGCGCATTCCTTCTCAAAAAAAAAAAGAAAAAAAAAAAAAAAGAAAAGAAAAAAAAAGAAAATGATATATTTAATGACTGCGTTTGGGTTTTCAAGAAGATGTTCATAAACTTACAACATAATCGGGGATAGTGTGTAATTATTAAATATAACATCAGTATGTATACGTCGTTCGCTATTTATATTAACTATATTATTATTATTATTATTATTATTATTATTATTATTATTATTATTATTATTATTATTATTATTATTATTATTATTATTATTACTATTATTATTATTATTGTTATTATTATCATTACTATTATTATTATAACTATTATTATTATTATCATTATCATAATTATTATTGTTATTATTATTGTTATTATTATTATTATTATTATTATTATTATTATTATTATTATTATTATTATTATTATTATTATTATTATTATTATTATTATTATTTGGGCCTGAGTATATTAATGATCTTGAAATCGCTTCAATTTTACAGCAACGACATTAACAATAATTATGTACATTTCGTATAAGCTGTCGTCGTACGTTGTCGTTGGAAATCATTATTATATTTTTCGTTTCAAGAAAAAAAAGGAAAAAAAAAATCACCATCGGTGATTTTTCATCCTCTTCTTATCTCCCCCTCCCCCCTCTTTACCTTGGGATAAAGTGCTGTATTCGATCAAGATACTTCGATAGAAAATTCAATATGATAAAAACAATTTCACAATTGTCAGGGATAATTAATACTTTGGCCATCGAATTTCATTTTATCGAAACAATTAATAATAATATTTTAAATATTTTTAACAAATCTCTGGATCCATTATATGTTAAACGTTGATACTACTGTATGTTATAAATTATTGCTGTAATTTAAAAGAATATGATTTAGCATTAACGCGGGAAAAGGAATCTTAACGTGAATATAATTTTCGAAAGATTTTTTTACATGTAATATTAATATTGATTTATTTCGACAAATAAATCGTATATATTCTAGATTAGAGATTGCCAAAGTGTTTGAATTGCTTTAAATATTTAAATTATTGATCGGTTTACATTGATGTGCATTAGTAAAGATTGTAATTTAATCTAATATCCTCAATAATTCAAACAATTCAAAATCAATTCGATTAAAGATCATTACAAAGGTTTTTCCAATTTTTCAATTACACCGATCTATTTGTAACAAATTAATTTTGAACTGTTTAAACAATCAACCCTTACGCAGAAATTACACTTTTGGATGGATCGCAAGTAATAATTACATTTTTCGAGAAAAGTTCACAAAATTTTGATAAGCCCTATGGCATTTTAGATTCTTAAGTAAAATATAAAAATAAAATGATTTTTGTAAAAGGGGAAAAAAGAAAGAAAGAAAGAAAGAAAGAAAGAAAGAAAGAAAGAAAGAAAGAAAGAAAAAAAAAGAGATTACATCGATTAATTTTATTCGATCGATTCAAGATTTCTGGTCGCTTTGTTTAAAGAAAGAAAGAAAGAAAGGAGGGAAAGAAAGAAAAAAAAAAAGACAAGAACAAAAATATTATACATAAGAAGAACAAGTGGAAAGATTCAAGTAATATTTTTTTCTCTATTTTTTGTATTGAGCAAACATTGGCTTGAAAAAAAAAAAAAAAATACAAATTCGATATTTCTTCTAAAACACATGGTCACACGATAGATCATGATTTATGTTCCAATAAAAAAAAAAGAAAAAAAAAAAAAAAAGAAATCGAAACTTTCTACGATCGCTGTGACATCTTTTCGCATGGACACAACTTTTCTATTTCAGCACCGTTCAGCACCCTTTTAAAGCGCATATCCTTTTTCCCTTCCTCCTTTTCACTTTCCTTCCTTCCTTTCTTTCTTTCTTTTGTAATACTTACCATCGTTGTGTTCGTAGATTCCCTAAATTAATACTATTCGTTTCGATCAATAAATTTATCGATCGGAAGATTCGCACCATTTCTATAATCCTTATCTTTTCTCTCATCTAATATGAATCTATTAAACGGATCTAAATCGGCACGTGTCGCGTGATTTCACGAGCATTATTTGTTCTATGTACAATATATAGAATCCATCGACGATGACGATAGTAAGGCAGATAGAAAGAAAGAAAAAAATAAAGAAAAAGAAGAAGAAGAAGAAGAAGAAAGAAAAAGATAGAGAGAAAGAGTGATAAAGAGATAGAGAGAAAAAGATATTCTGCGAAAAAGAAATTGAGAAAGAGGGAGAGAGAGAGAGAAAGAGAGAGAGGAGAGAGAGAGAGAGACCAACGGGTCTCCCGTTTATTTTTTCGTCATTGCTCGTCATCGAGCTTATTTCTCGTCAATGGAGAGATCTTAAGTTTACGATCAACAATACGTCGATCATTATCTTGAACTGTACTAAACTTTGAGCTTTGCCATGTACGAGCCATAGACGATAGGTACGACGACACTATGGACTACCCGTATCGTGATGTAACGAATCGCTGTCACTTTCGAGATAAGTGACGTAGCTATCGGTACTATCAGGATGTTGACCCATATCTGGACCACCACCTCCAGGATGATGAGGACCTGGTGGAGGTAAAGGGCCACCACCTCCACCGCCACCACCGTCGTTCATTGGACCACCGAGCATTCCTGGAGGTGGAAGTTGTGGTGGTGCTCCTCCATGAATGTCATAACCGTGCATCTGAAATATAATCAAATTCTTCTTTATTCTTTTATATATATATATAATTAATATATATTATAATTTATATATTATATTATATATATATAGGGTGAGGGTGAAAAGTTTTTAAAAATGATTTTAAAAAAATCAATTATATTATTTTAAAGCTTGTAGTTTTATAATCTGACAAGAAAAAAGACAAAAAAAAAACAAAACAAAAAGAAACGAGAAAGAAATTAATTTAAGAAATATACGAAAAAGTGTGATTGATTTTTGTAAATTAATCTAGAACAAAATTTGGATCCATTTTCTAACTGTACACAGAGAAATTTCTATTTATACCTGGGAGACCAAATGATGAAAGGCTGGCGCATTGGGATCCAACCTATCGAGATCCGTATGCAAGGCAAAGTCCGATAGAGCTTTCCAAGGTGGTTGATAGGCTTGCACTTCTAGAGGTGTCATGCCGATGGGGCTTTCGTGTCTAACAGGGCTACTCGCCACCATTGGTATCCCATGCATACCGCCGAAACCCAATTTACGCCCGTCCTGCAACGGAAAGCACTTCGATCCATTAAATCAATACAATCTCGGTCGTGTATAACAAAAAGATTTGTAAAAAAAAAAAAGAAAAAAAAAAGAAGAAACAAAAAAAAAGAAAGAAAGAAAGAAAGAAAGAAAAGGGAAAAAAGAGAAAGAAATAATTAAATCTATATCGACAAGCTAATTGACAATCTAATCAATAATTATTTTCATCAAAAGATAGTGGACAACGTTTATTTTATTACCTTCTCTTGCATTTGTTGTTTCATTGCTATCGTCTTCTTCTTATCCTTACATCTTTTGTTTTGGAACCATACCCTGATAACTCTTGGACTTAATCCGGTCATCTCGACCAATTGTTCCTTCATCAATGCGTCCGGTCTTGGATTTGCGGCGTAACACGTTCTTAAAGTATGAAGTTGTTTCTCATTCAAAACCGTACGTACTCTGGTTGGTTTACCGTCGGAACCACCACCGCTCTTATGACTTCCGGTTCCTCGTGCACCACCAACGCCGGCCTTATGAGAACCACTCTCTGATCCAGAGTCTAAAATAGAATCAAAATTCGATATGGGTATAATGATCTTTTCTTTTCTTTTTTTTTTTTTCTTTTATAGAATTATGTAGATAATTGTTAACAATATTTCGATTCAAATTGATCTTATTTTAATTACATATGTAAATTAAAAATCTTTTTGTTTTTATTGATATCATCGATCTATTGATTGAAATACGACAATGATGATTAAAATTAGCCGTAGAAGCCTAAATGTATTTAATTAGAAGATTATTGATTATCATTGATCGACAATTTTAATTAAGAAGATAAATTTTCATCGATCCTTCATCATCGTGAAAAATATTCGTAAGACTTCCTGATGACATTCACATCCCTTCGTGGTACTTGTCGTAAGTTAGAAAACGTTTGAAGGGAATCGTTGATCTTAAGAATTATTAACGCCATAAATAGATAAAACCGATCGATGAAACAATAATTGTTAATGATCAAAATTAGTTACAGGAATTCATTAAATTAGGGTATAACTTAATTGTCGGAGAATCGATCGACAATACTAATTAAAAATATTAATTTTTCGATCCTTCAACGTTACATTAGAAAAATATTCGTAAGACTCGTTATTGGTATTTTAATCAGCGTACGTGTCGAAGGGTAGAGAAAACGTTTGAATAGAATCGGTGCCCTTAAAAGAAATGAACTTAGGGAGATCAACGCGTATCGTACCAACCGGTCCTGCAAAACGATCGAGGTCCAAGCTAATGGGAGATCCGGATACTGTTTCAATATGGCCGGTGAAGAACGTAAAGGGCACCGACAACGATCACGTCTCTCTCTCTCTCTCTCTCTCTCTATCTCTCTTTTTCTTTATTTATTTCTTTCCCTCTTTCTTTATTTCTCTTGCGGCACAGCAGACTTGAGAGCAGAAGAACGAAGAAACAATATTGTCGATGAGCAAACTCGGATCCGCGCATTCGTGACCATAGCTCGCGCGTTGCAGTACGTCCTTGAATAACAACGTGTCTGTCGGTTCTTCCTCTGGAGTACGTTCCCAAGTTCCTTTCGATCGGTTCTATTTGATTTACAGTGCTTCACTAAAGTCTTCGTGAATTTCATATTTTTTTTTCTCTTTCAATTTTTTTTTTCTTCCTTTTTCCTTCCTTCTTTTTCTTAAAAAAAAAAAAAAAAAAAAAAAAAAGAAAAAAAAAAGAACGAAAAAATTCGTTGAATCGATCTCTCAAGAATATGTTAATAATCATTATCTTTGTTAAATATTTACAAGAACATTCGACATTTTGATCAGATTTCACGGATCTAGGTAATACTCGTTTAGGATTCATTAAGAAAAAAAAAAAAAAAAACAAAAAAAAAAAAAGAGAAAAAAGAACAAAAAAAAAGGAAAAAAAGAAAGAAAGGAAGAAAAAGAACAGAAAATTAATAAAATGATAATTAATTATAATGTAGTATATAATTTATGATGAATTTTAATTTAAACTGAATTCACAATCATGTCGTTGACTTCGAATTCAGGAAAGAAAAGTTGATTATTGACTTCGCGTCAAGGTCATCTACATTTTGGATATTTATATATATAAGTAGGAAGTAATAATTACAATGTAGCAATTTAGTATTTTTATAATTACGAAGTTTAATTTTAAATTAAAATATTGATATTATAAATATATTTAAATTTACGATGATATTTCGGGAATGAAACAAAAATAAAATCTCCGATGTATTCCTTGAGAGTTAACTGTTAAATAAATTTTGAACGATGATACCACGTTATTTAAGACAAAGTAATATGTACTTGCATACATACATATTAAAGGAATAATAAAAAATTATGTTCTTTATTTCGAAATTAATTATCCCATGTGTACATAGTTTAAATATTTGAGAGAGAAAGAGAGAGAGAGTGACGGAGAGAGAGAGGGAGAAAGAGAAAGAATAGTTATCTGTCTGAGAAATTTGGCAACTGGCATTTAATGGACATTTAGAAATGTGGAATTTGGATTATCGAAATAAGAGTATTTAAAAGGGTTGAAGGGTTCGTAGTTAGTACAAGACAAGATAGGTTTATTAGTATTTCGATGGAATCGATTGTTTGCCAATGGTAAAACAGAAGGAGGATAATGCAAGAAGATGCTGCTGGACAAATGAAATCTTCTCTAGCTTTCTCTTTCTTACTCTTACTTTCTCTTTCTCTTTCTCTCTCTCTCTCTCTCTTTATTTTTGGTATCCTAACCAAATAATAGTAACGTGGAAAAAGGACAAAAGAGCTACGAGCAGGTGAGGAAAATTTTCGAAAGAAAAAGAAAAGAGTCACTTCGATTTTGAGAAAACTAGTTCCGTCAAAAAAAAAAAAGAAAAAAAAGAAACAAAAAAAGAAAAGAAAAAGAGAGAAAACAAAATAAAAAAGAAATAAATAAATTATAATTAACATACACGGACGCATACAGACATACACACAGAGACACAATGAATCCATTTTGAAGTTAACGTAGGTATCAATTATTACTATAGTTCAATATCATTTAATGGCATAGTTAAAAATAGAACGAAATACTAGCTCTGTTTGCTCGGTAAGATGAACATTGTGAATGATCGTCAATATTGCCATCTTTCTCTCTCTCTCTCTCTCTCTTTCTCTCTCGCTCTATTTCTTTCTCTTTATCTTTGTTGAAATTTCATTTCAACGTTGATCGTAATGACCGTAATATAAATCCGTACGTACGACTTAACGTCTCGTATTTACAATGAAAATAAATTTCAAATTGGCTGAATACCAACAAATTTATTCTACTGTTGACGACATTTCAATTTCATTTGGTCGTTCATTCGATCGTATTAATGTAATAACGATTTTTAATAATTATGTGAAAGAATGGAAAAAAAAAGAAGGAAAAGAAAAAATGAACAAGAAAAAAAAAATATATATATATATATAAATATATATGTAAAAAGCTATAGAAAAGAAAAATAAAAGAAGATTCATGAAGAAAAGATCAAAAATTGAGGATCAAAAAACAAAAAACAACATAATTAAAATGCCGACGACATTGAGACGACGAATAATTTCGACAAATAATTTCGACGGATAACGAGCATGCCTTCTAATGAAATTTATTCGTGGATCAGAATGTCTAAAGGATTTTCTAGTTGAGTATCGGGGCACAAAGAGCAAATTTACAAAAGGGTTCTTGGCCCGAGGGTAAAGCATATCTACGAAATACAAGGGATTTCCGTCATCGGCGATGGGAACGACAAGGACAACGACGATAACGACGATAACAACGGCAATGACTACGTGGACGGTGGTGGTAAGCGACTATAGTGTTGTGTTAGGATCGGCACGTGTAATTAGGTGTTGATAATTGAAGCCGTTGAGACCTTAAAGGCTTGACCACTACACCCTCTCTTCCTACACGCTTGGGATTACATGGCTCAGTGTCCATCTACCACCGCCCATATTAGGTAATATGAGTACGTCCGAGGCGTCCGATATATTGAATTATGAACGATGTAATAATCTATGATAATCTACTATGATAATTTTCACGACGACAACAGAGAAAAAGAGAGAGAGAGAGAGAGAGAGAGAGAGAGAGAGAGAGAGAGAGAGAGAGAGAGAGAGAGAGAGAGAGAGAAGAGAGAGAAAGAGAGAGAGTGAGAAATAGAAAAAGAGAATTTTTTTACTTTTTTTGTTCAATTTCTTATTTCTATAAAACGAGTAATTAAGCTACACATATATATATATATATATATATATATATATATATTTATAAAATATATATTATATATGTATGTATGTAAATGTATATCATATATAATATATATGTGTATATATGTGTATATATATATATATACATATATATTGAATGAATATAAATACAAGATTTATCGTAAGTAACTTGGAATAAATATTGCATAATTAAACTCGATATAATGAAATCATTTATATTCTATATTTTAAAAGACTTTTATTTAAGAAAATAAGTGAATCAAATAAATGGTTATGCATATTATATGCTATGCAATCTAAAGTTTATCGTCAGCTTTTAATTTATGTAACGTAAATTAAATTTCGATTAGAACGATACGAGTGGTTCTACTGCATGGTTAAAAACGTGACTAGGAATATCTACTAGAGAAAAAGGGAGAGAAAAAAAGAGAGAAAGAGAGAGAACGAGTTAAAAAGATTAGAGAGAGAGAGAGAGAACGAGTTAAAAAGATTAGAGAGAAAGAGAGAGAGAGGAATAAATTTTGCTTGCTAATTCCCATGCAAACAGTACGGTACGAACGTGTCACCACAACGTGACACGGTAACTCATTTCGTCTTTTGTGATCTGTTTATCACCGTGATTCCTTTATGGAAATCATTGGAGTAGCAGACCGAAATTGACGTCTCGTCTTAACTCATTCTATCCGAACTTGAAAACTACTGCTCGAAAACGAATTTCAAAGCGACGGACACAGTGGTTTGACAAGTCTTTAGAGTATACGAGAGGTGTCAAATGTAACACCACCCTGCCAACTACTGTCGTACATAACTACGCACGATCCACACATCTTTTTTTCTTTTCTTTTTCTTTTTTTCTCTTTTTTTTTTTTTTTTTCTTTCTTTCTTTCCTTCTTTCTTTCATTCTTTCTTTCTTAAACAAGAAAACGCACGTCTCCTTATTTCTTCTTCTTCTTCTTATTTTTTTTTTTATCTTTATTAAATGTACTTATTTATTTCATTTATTCTTATTCTCATCTTTTTATTTATTTATTTTTTTTTTTTGTATATATCAATCGTGTAATTTCTTTATATATATATATATATATATACGAAGACAAAAAATTTTGGGATTATTACCTGACATCGATCCGTCGTTTGGATGCAAATGATGATTATTATTTGTTAAGGAAGCGTTGTTGTTATTCTCGCTCCCTGGTACACCGCCAGTGGGACAAAATTTTCCACTTTCAACTATTTCGTGATCGTGCAAACAAAATAATCCGTCCTGTCTCAGGGCGAATTCATCGCCCGGTAAAAGCTTCCTCATGCAAGCCGAACAACGAAAACAATTCACGTGATAGATCTTGGTCTTTGCCCTCATCACGTATTCGTTCTTGCTGAAACACTGACTGCACTTGTCACACTTCGTCCCGAAAAGTCTGAAACATTCAATACGAAAAATATTTTTCATAATGTATGAAAAATACATAATTCATATGTATATACATTTGACATTTTCTAATGTTGAAATTAATTAGATATTAATTTTATATCTCATTATTACATATTTCCTTTTTTATATTTCATAATCTCGAGGTAGAAATATTTGAATAAAAAATTTACAGTATTTAATTCATGTATCATATGTATATATATATATATATATATAGTATTTGATTATGTAATATCGACATCATGTATTATTGATTATAATCACTGAATGAAAACTTAAACATTAGAAAATTTCTTATAATAAGATTAGTTCGATTTCTGATTTTTTTATTATTCCGTCTTCGCAAAAGATAGTTTGGAATTTTCAATTGGGAAAATTGATCATAAGTACGGGATAGATTGAAAGTTCGTGGACGATTTTAAAAATCAATTACTCATCTTCCAGATGTTTTAATTTAATTTTTGTTCTTTTTTCTTTTCTTTTTTTCTTTTTTTTCTTTTTTCTCTTGTTTCTTCCTTTCTTTTCGATCGTAAAAATTATAAGAGAGAAGAGCCTAGGAATGTCCGTGCAATCTGAAGAAAAAAAAGAAGAGAGAAGAGAAAAAAAAGAAAAGAAAAAGAAAAGGAAAAATTTCGAAAAAAGATTAATTGATATTTAAAATCAAATAAGAACTTTTCATCCAGGTCTCCTTAATACGATCATTTAATATATCGATCATAATTATCGAATATAAAACGTACGTATGTGAGATTTGATATTTTCTAATGTTGAAATTAATTAGATATCAATTTGATATCTCATTATTATATATTTCCTTTTTTATATTTCATAATCTCGACGGAGAATAAACGTTTGAATAAAAAATTTACGGAATTTAATTCAGATATCATTAGTACGATCGATTGATCGATGGTTTGCGTTGGCGTCGATAATATCCATTGTTGGTTATCATAGTCGATAATTTAGAAAAAAAAAAAAAAAAAGAAAGAAAGAAAAAAATCTCGAACAGATATTTGATACTTAATTAAGTATAATGAAAATAAAAGAAGTCGAAAAATTAAATGTACAGACAATATGTATCGACATTTTTTTCTACAATTTTTTTTTTTTAAATACAATGATACGAATCGTCGATGTTTAAACGTTATGAAATTGTATAAAATTTGAAAAGAGAGAGAGAGAGAGAGAGAGAGAGAGAGAGAGAGAGAGACAGAGAGAGAGACAGAGAGAGAGAGAGAGAAAGAGAGAGAGATAGAGAGAAACACAGTGATAAGGAAAAGCCATGAGAACATATTCAATAATTTTCATCTTTCGTGAAATAAAAATATATATATATATACATATATATATATAGATACGTTATCGGAATTTGTTGAAACTATCATGAAAATACATATATTTATCGTTATTCGATACTCTCATCCACTTTGCAAATATGGCTTATGATGTATAACAGTTTATGCTAGTACAGCCAATACGCTAGTACGAAAGAGAGAAAGAGAGAAAGAGAAGGAGAGAAAGAGAGAAAGAGAAAGAGAGAAAGAGATAGATAGAATATTTATCGGCGTACATCCTAATCTCGATAGCATCCTAGGTTCTCTCTCTCTCTCTCTCTCTCTTTCTCTCTCTCTTTCTCTCTCTTCCTCTCGGTCGTTTCTCATAAGTTATGATACACTTCAATATCTGATAGTGCAATGCGAAGCGAGAGCGAATCGCGTGGGTGGCTCTCATGCAAGCTCATAATCCAACCGAACGTTTCACATCGGCTCAAAATATATGACTCGGTCTGGCTAATATTCTTACCCGTTCCCTATAATAACCTTTCCTATATATTTTCTTATATATCGTAATATCGTGTAGAAACGAGAAGCATAAACTCAGTTTGTACTACATGGGAATACGATGATACGTTATTTATGTTCACGCGTTATGGCATATTCGCTAACTTCGCGTTTAGAAAATCGATTTTGTAACGGGAGAGAGGTGATCGGTGGATAACGGGGTTGCGGGAAGGGGCGAGAGAATGGGAGATAAAGGGGTGGTGGTAATAAGGAGCTGTTGGATGAAACTGAATGTTATATCAAATATTATAAAATATTCTATGGGTATGTATACGTGTACTTCTATATAAGAAACTTCTGTAAGAACAAATTTTCTTCGTTGATAATTTTTTTCTCTTCTTTAACCTTTTCTTTTTTTTTTTTGTTTTTTTGTTTTTTTTTTGTTTTGAATAAATAACTTTACTTACGAACTTTCGAAGATTGGGGAAAGAAGAGAAGAAAGGTTTGCTTTTTTTTTTGTTTTTTTCTTTTTTTTCGTCGAACGAAAATTTCAACGTAGTTCATTGAGGGGAGGTAAAGTTGGGGGTGGCTTAGATGGGTGGAGGGTGATTTATTTTCTTTTTTCTTTTCTTCGTTCACTACAAAAGCAACTACCACCGCCGTCCGTCGTGATGATTTTTTTTTCTTCTAAATAAATGAGAGACGGCGTAAAAAAAGAGAAAAAAGAAAGAATAGCGAAACTCAGATATCTAAGCGAATTAATCGTAGATTAAAGATCAAATATCTTCTCTTTCTTTTCTTTTTCTCTTTCTATTTAATTGTCACAAGAGAAAAAATTGTTCGTTACTTTTTATCTTTTCTTTTTTTCCTTTTCTTTTTTTTTTTTTTTTTCTTAAATAAATAATTACTAACTTGTAAAGGTTACAAAGAAATAACATTTTTTTTCTTTTCACGGAAGAAATCGATCGATATATCGGTCGTGCTAATTGCAATCTAATTCACAAAAAGGGATGATATTTCGTTTCTGATTCGAGTAGTTACCGAAAGGTCGAGTAGAATCGAGATACTGAGTTAGTGAGAAAATGAATGAATGAGTGAGAGAGAGAGAGAGAGAAAAAGCAAGAGAGAGAGAGAGAGAGAGAGAGAGAAAGAAATGAGCTCGCTTCTCTCGTTTTGACTTTTCTGACTAAGCGACAGGGACAACAAACAAGCTAACCGGCGAATGTCTTGTCTTGGAGTGAATTCACGTCGACCGGATATGCCAGTCTCTCTTCTCTCGTTCGGCCTTCCCGAAGGCGTTTCGACGTTTGACGGATCAATGCAAATAAACTTTCTGTCCCCGAGGGAGAAAAATATTTGGTCCATGTCGTCTTCGTAAATCGTACCTGCCAGAAGAAAAAAAAAGAGGGGAGAAGAAGTTCGAGAAAAGAGGAACGAGAGAAAAAATGAAAGAGAGAGAGAGAGAGAGAGAGAGAGAGAGAGAGAGAGTGGGAGAGAGAGAAGAAACAAGAAAAAAAAAGAAATACTCCCCTTGGCCACCCCCTCCCACCTCCCGAAAAAGTACACTCGGCGAGTGGGTGTACGTTGAAAAAGAGAAAAAAAGCGAAAAAGGAAAATAAGAAAAAGAAAGTGACATAAAAGATCTTTGTTTCTTCATTGCGATGTAAACACATCGAACGAAGAAAATATCTTGGACGAAAGAGAACGTCGAACTGTGCACGATTGTCTCCTTTACACTCCGTTCCTTTTTTCCCCCGCCATTTAAATTCGATCGCGTGCTAATGGCGTCCCATTTAGCACGACGGTTCTATTTAAATAGAAATTAAATGAAAAGAAATGTGGATATTTTCAAAGAAGAGATTTATATAATTTCGATTGAACAAAATTTCGATTCTAATCTAACTGAGGAAGAGTATTATCAAAGAAATATGGATAATAATAAGAACATACGGAAATGTGAATGATTTGATATATATATATATATATTAAAAAAAAATATATAGAACGTAAAGGATATTAAAGAAAGAATATTAAACAAAAATTTTTTTTTTCGAATCCATGAAGTTATATTATACGTTTAAAAATATAATAGAAACGATATATACGGGTATTAGTAATATTGATTATTAAAAAATATAAAGTGTACAAATAAGAAAATAAATAAATATAATATATATATATATATATATATATAAAATATTAAAAAAAAACAATGTAACAATAGATAATTATGATGGAGAATATTAATATATCGATATATTGATGTTATACTATAACGCGAATTTTTCTTTTTGATTTAACTTCAACCCTTTTAATAAGATCTACCCTTAAAGAAATTATAATATCATTTACCCCCTCTACTCCCCTCCGCATTTCCACCTTTGCGAATACGATACGTACGATTTCGTCCGGAAGAGCCTTGAAAAAAAAAAGGGAAGGAAAGAAAAAGGATAACGAATAAAAAAAAAAAAAAGAAAGGAAAGAGGAGAGAGAAAAAAGCCAAAAAAAGAGAGAGAGAGTGAGAGTGAGACTCCTGTCTCCCGTCGAAAGCTTCAATCCGTCGTCGGTTTTAATTCCGCAAGCTCGAGCGCGAGCCGACGTTACTACGCTCTTTTTTCTTTTTCTGTTTCTTTTTCTGTTTCTTTTTCTGTTTCTTCATTCTTTTTCTCTCTTTCTTTTCTTTTTTTTTCTTTTTTTTTTTTTTTTTTTTTTCTTTTCTTTCGTTGCATACAGTTGCACGCGCGAATCGTCGGTGCACATGTTCCTTGTCTCGAACACGTTGCATACCTACATTACGCGAGGATTCGAAGACGAAGACGAAGACGAAGACGAAGACGAAGACGAAGACGAAAATGTAGACGAGAAGAGACAAGACGAGACGAGACGAGACGAGACGAGACGAGACGAGACGAGACGATACGAGACGAGACGAGACGAGAGATTTTTCGTTTCGTTTCATTTCGTTTCGTTCCGTTTAGTTTAGTTTGGTTTGGTTTTTCGTTCGAACGAAACAGGACGACTCGATCGGAGTTTATATGGCGTTTGTTACTCGTTGCTACGGGTTCACAGATAAAAATACTTCGCAGTCACACACACACAATCTCTCTCTCTCTCTCTCTTTCTCACGCATACACATCTTCCTTTTTTCTTCTCTTTTCATTTTCTTTTCTTCCTTCTCTCTTTTATTCCTCCAGAATGCGTTTCTTTATTCCTTTTCAATCCCGGTCACAGCCTCCTGGTACGGCGTCCTATCGCGTGTTACCAGTATATATATATATATGTATATATATATATATGTATATATATATATATGTGTGTGTGTGTGTGTGTGTGTTATGTATATATTTATATATGTATATATGTGTATCTATGCAAGTATAAGAAAACGTGTGTGTGTGTGTGTGTGTGTGTGAGAGAGAGAGAGAGAGAGAGAGAGAGAGAGAGAGAGAATGTAGCGGGTTCACTCTGACAAGAGGGACAGTTTTGCATTAATTACCATACCGCAGACTTCGATCGGGATTCGAGCGTAAGCCTTCCACCTTTTTTCCTGGAATTCGTGAACGCGTATCTTTCTCTTTCTATACTATCTTTTTCTTTTTCTTTTTCTTTTTTCCACTCCACCATCATCACCACCATCAACACCATCGCCACTCGCCAATGGGTACACCAGTATCAACGCTACTATTATCGGCAGCAACCATGGATTTTATGACGGTGGATCGTAAAAAGGAAAAATACGAAAACCGATAACGATACCAAGTAGAAAGAATGAAAGAAAGAAAGAAAGAAAGAAAGAAAGAAAGAAAGAAAAAGAAAGAGAAAGAGAGAAAGATAGGAGAAAAAATAAGAAAAGGAGGGATCAAGTGTATCTATATATGTATATGTATGTATTTGTGTATGTGTGTGTGTATATTTTCAAGGAATAACTATTTCGTGGAAGGGCTTTTTGGGGATTACTTTTTAAAGGGTTGCAAAGTCTTCTCAGAGTCTCTTAATTTTAGATATATATATATATATATATATATATATATATATATATATATAGAGAGAGAGAGAGAGAGAGAGAGAGAAGAAATAATATTTTTGTGTAATTAATTTTTCTTCTTAATTATTTTTTTTTTTTAGTATTCCTCTTCTATTATTATTATTATTATTATTATTATTATTATTATTATTATTATTATTATTATTATTATTATTATTATTATTATTATTATTATTATTAAAATTTTTTTTGTTTAGTATCCTCTTCCTTTCTCTCACCTGACGTAATCTCCCTTGCAGTACGTCTTCCCGTCGCGTACGAAGCAGGTGCAATGTTCGTCCAAAAATTGTTGACACTCGGCACACTTCAAACAGGCAGCATGCCACTCGAGATTAGGCGCCACCCTCAATATCCACTGGTCGTGAATTCGTCCACCGCAGCCGACGCAATGCGAGCTACGTCCTTCTGAAAATGAACAATGTGTTTTTTGGTTAAATTTCTTTCTTTCTTTCTTTCTTTCTTTCTTTCTTTTTTCTTTCTTCTTCTTTTTTTTTTTTTTTTTTTTTTTTTTATTAATGAGAACATCCAAAGATTTAGAATCCGATAACGATTTGTTCGTTTTATTTCTTTTGTTTTTTTTTGTATTTTTTTTTTTTTATATATTCGTTCGCGTAAATATGTTCTAAGGATTAAAATTAATTGATTAATTTTTTTTTTCTTTTAGCATAGGTATTTTGTCGATATGGTTCAATTTCTTTTTTTTTTTTTTTGCATTTAACATAACTTTATTTAACGCATGTAAATTTATGTAGGTATAACTATATATATGTATGTGTGTGTATGTGGGTAACATGTATATATATATATATATAAAACGTATGCTAAGGAAAATATTAACTTTTAGGATATAAATTAATGTACGGAGATAAGAGTTAAAAATAATATATTAAGATGATATTAAAGAATGAAATGAAATTATTACATCACGTTTTATAGACGTTTAACGAGCAATTAAATAATAATTTTGAATACTTTTTAATTAACGTATCTATATAAGATAACGATTTTCATTAATGATCTAATGATACAATTTAAAATCCATAATTTTGATTGACTCGATAATTAAAAACGTTAATCCTCTTTTACGACTTTTTATTATCAATTGGATAGATATCATTGATAGTCGAGTGCAAATTTGATATATCTTATTCGTAGAAGGAATGAAATTGTTTGTTCCGTCGATCACGAAAGACGATTTAACGATATAACAGAGTTTTTTTAATCGTGTCCATCATTTTATGTACCTATCGATTATATCACGGGCACGTTCTTTTTCTACGATAACAACAAAAACGACGCTTTATAATTTATGAAACAAGATGGAAGTGTACAAAAAGGAAAGGAAGTAATAAAAGTATATGAGAGATTCCTGATCATGATAGAATATTATGTGATTGATATTAAGAAAAAGAATGATGATGATTTATCGAATTGCGAATTATTTTCAACACTTTACTACATTCGTATTAATCGTTATCGGTATTCGATCGTTCGACTTAATTAAATGTTTCAAAGAGAAAAAGAAGCGAAAGGAATGAGTGCTTTAAAAATTATCACTACGAAGTTGTTCGATCATTATGCTCGACGACGATGGCAACGACGACGACGACGACGACGACGACGACGACGACGACGACGACGATCATCGACCGACGGGATATGATTTTATTCATTTATTTCTCGATATCGTTGAAGCAACCGATCATCGAAATTGAACGAATTTTAACGAACGGTCTTTTTCCTCTTCTAATATTATGTCTAAACATCCTTATATATCATCTATTACATCATGTTTTTCTTCAACTCTGCCATTACTACGATCGATAACTTCCTTTCTACGAGACACTACTACTATTCTATATAATAATATTTTCTCTCAGTACACGTATCTTCCTTTATACATTCATCGGAACCAAATAATTTTATTAGATTTAAAATATAATAATTTGAATGGTTTGTTTTTTATAATATACCTCATTTTATTCCGATAGGGGAAAAAAGGAAAAATTTTTAACAATGAAAAAGAAAATGCGATTATATACTTTCGGCTAGTCGTTACGTTCAAAACACTTTTAAAAATAAACAATTGTTTTAGATCTATGATGATTCACGTAACACGTTCATCGATTGACTATATTAACTTTTAAAAATATTCGTTCGTAGAAATACTCTTTCAATTTGTCATTACATTCGATTTATTACGATGAATAAGATTGTTTCAATTTCGAGATAAATTGTAATATTTTTGAATTAACTTTAATAAATTTGCATTTATTTCCGAAAGATAATTTCTTTTTTTTTTTTTCAACGTGATATTTTCTTTCAACTTTATGTATCGTTCACATGTTAATTAGATTAAGCTCATTATTTCGAATCTAGTAAAAATAATCAAATTTTTCGATTAATTAAAGTAAATCTTATCCCTTTAAGAATAGAAAGAAAAAAGGAAAGGTAAAAAAAGAAAAAGGAAGAAAACCAAAATAGCGTTGATTATTACACGAAATGAAATGATGTAAATAGATTATTAGAAATAAATAGAAAATTATATTATAATGGGATTAAGTATTTAATAAACAGAAAAGTAGATCCAATATGACGATTGATAGAACTGTATATCACGATATTGTCACCTCTTTATAACATTTGATTCTTCTTCTTAATTATTTTCAATATGTACGCACAAAGTAAAATAACAATTTCGAATTATTCTACGAAAGTGGATACATATATGTATTCGATCTTCAAAAATTCGATACTCACGAACTTCAAACTTGTACGAAAGGTAGAGCGTTGTTAAGAAGAAAAAAAAAAGAAAACAAAAAAAAAAATAAACAATAAAAAAAGAAAATAAAAGAAAAAAACACCGCAAAGATATAAACAAAAAATAAAACGACACCAGTCACTGAATCGATGCGGAAGGAGACACGATTTATGAAGAGAGAAAGAGAGAAAGAGACAGAGAGAGACAGACAGAAAAAGAGACAGATAGACTGACAGAAAAAGAGAAGAATAAAGAGAGAATAGAGAGAAAGAGTGAGATTGTGTGTACAAGAGAGAGAGAGAGAGAGAGAGAGAGAGAGAGAGAGAGAGAGAGAGAGAGAGAAAGAGAGACCGAGAGAGAGAGACAGAGAGACAGAGAGAGAGAAAGAGAGACCGAGAGAGAAAAAGAAGATGATAAGAATAAGAATAAGAAGATTTGAAGGAGGATGCTGGACCAGCCACAGCATCGGCAGTGGTGGCTGCGCCACTGCGGTCGAGCGCTTCCGAAATTAGCTGCCGTTTTCTCGAGACGCGTTTGCGCCGCACCGCGGAGGCGTCCGCGTTGCCGAAGAAATGCCGACGAAAAAGATAGAGAAAAAAAAAGAGACAGACAGAGAGAGAGAGAGAGAGTGAGTGAGTAAGTGAGAGTGAGTGAGTGAAAGAAGGAGAGAGAGAGTGAGAGAGAGAGAGAGAGAGAGAGAGAGAGAGAGAGAGAGAGAGAGAGGCAAGGGTGTAGACATGGGCGGTTCTTGGAGCATGAAAAGGGGCTTTGAAACTCCGCCCAGGGGAAACCGGATGCCGAAACTCCATCGGAGTCGGCGCTTGAACGTTCCTGCGCGAGTTTTGCGCAGATTCCGTAGAGAGATAACAAGACGATCGACTAGAACGTGTCTTCGTCTTCGTTTTCGTCCTTTGTCTTCTTATCCATTTCGAACGTGCTTTAAAACTTTCCTTGTGCGATTTAAAACATCCCTATAAATCGTATATTCGTCATAACACACTCTGAATTTCTTTGAATCAATGATAACACCAGTGGTTTTATCATATTTAGAAATTAGATTGTTATCGTTTGAAAAGATTTATATCGGTGGATAGTTTTATGTTTTATGTTTCCTTTTTATGAACAATGGAAACGTCGTGTTTTTATGTTATGTGTGATTTTACGACGATTATTTGGTGTATTTTGTATTTATCTACGGTAATATTTCACTACCATATATATATATACATATATGTATGTGTATCTAATTGTTAGATTCTATTAAAAGTTTTAGTGTAAGTTTTGAGATAAATTTCTAAATGATAAAATAAGACGATCGATTAGAAATACGTATTTTTCTTCTTATTCATTTCGAACGTCATTTAAACTTCCCACGTACGATTTAACAATCCATATAAATTATATTCGTCATAATTCGCTCTGGAATTGTTTGAATTAATGATTCGTCTTTTATCATATTTTTAAAAGTTAAATGTTATTAATGTTAGAAAAGATTTATATCAGTGTAGTGTTTTTATATTATGCATGATTTTATGACGATAATTTAATATATTTTGTATATATCAAGGATAACATTTAACTACGATATATATATATATATATATATATATATGTATGTATGTATGTATATATGAATTTACTTGTTGACTTCTATTAAAAGTTTCAGCGCGAATTTCAAGATAAATTTCTAAATGATAATAAGACGATCAATTAGAAACTTGTATTTTTCTTTTCCTTCTTCTATTTCTTCTTTACTAATCATTTCGAACGTGGTTTAAACTTTCCCCGTGTGAATTAACTCTTCAATAAATCGTAATCTCTTGGATTTCTTTGAAATTCATTTTATCATATTTAAAGATTAGAAATTGCATTATTAGAAATTAAATTTATATATTATATATTAGATTTATATATTAGAAATTGACCAAGCAAATGTTTCGAAGAGATTTATGTTAATGGATAATTATATTTATCTTTAGTTTTACATATATCGTGGAAAAATTATTTTTATATTATTTAATCTTATGACGATTTAATGTAAATATATTTTGAATTAACATTTGCCTACAATATACGTATTTACTTGTTTGTTTCTTTCTTTTTTTTCTTCTTTCTTTCTTTTATTAATCTTAATTTTAATAATCTTGTTGTTATCACTTTGAAGTATAACACAGATAAGTATTTATTTATTCGTATTTAGATTAAGTCTACGTATTAGGGGTGTATTATAAGTCAATATTTAACTATGATAGGGACAACATTTTTTGATTTATATTTTTCTTTTTCAAGAGATTTTCTTTTTCACACTCATCACATTAAAAATTAACAATATACCTATTCATCTGGAGATACTATTCGGTCGTATATATTAGGATTAACATTTGTCTATGGGTATATATATATATACTTCATGTCTTCTATTTATCTGACATAACGACAGTATGAATGTTTATGCGTGCTGTTAATTAATGTAAATTATAATATTTAATTAATTTTCTATATACAAATTATAATATACATTTGAAAAAACTAATAAATTATTTCCTTCACAGAGGAATAAATTCTTCAATATTAATTATTTTTAATTAAATAGATATATATATATATATATATATATATATATATATATATATACAAAAAAAAG